CGAATTTATACAATAGTGTTGAATATATTTCTATGAATCCAGAAAAATCCAATTTTGGAGAAAATGAGTAGACGATTTTCTCCGATTTTGGAGAAATATATTACAAAATTTTGATTCGGAGAAAATTTCAGTTTAGCGAACACTTTTTGACTTTCTCCGATTTTAGGACTGACCCCCCTCCTGCTCCAGCCTCTTCGCGCCGCCCCTGAATACGACTAACCATTAAATAAAAAAAAAGATCTTTAGTCATCGGCAAGCAAATGAACTTCTGTTTCTGCTGAAAAGTAATAGTTTTATGTGTACAAACTCCCAACTTTCAAAAATCGACCTTTGAACTTGGCAAATTCAAATAGAATGAAAACTTCAGGATATCATGATGCTTTTGCGACATATTCAATAAACAAGGATGAAAAATAGCCCATTTGGCAATCCAATATCCTTTGTGGGCCTTCATTCTATATGCATGGTCTTCTTTTTTATTTGAAAAAGCATGTTAAAATGCAGAGTATGACAGAGACTTTGTGTCTTAATTTCTTTATTTGAAAGAGAAGAAAAACTCAAGTCTCTCAAAAAATGACACTCTACTTATAAATGTATTCTTTTATACCATAATAATAACAAAGCTTAATTCAAAAAACAATAAAAGCATAAACAGACAGATAACGAAAACCGTTTCCTGCCTTTCCTGAAAGAAGTATATTTTTCAAGCAGTTCAAACTTCGGACTATCTTTCTGTGCATATATTTCGATTTTCATGCTTTTGACGAAAATTGACTTTTTTTGAGAAAGAGAGAGGGAGGAATGAGAAGCATAAATTCAAAAAAAAGGACGTTTTTTTTTCAATAGAGAATATTTTACGTTTTCCTGCTTGTTAAGCTAACGTATTCATCAGCTTTTTGCGAGCGAAAGAAAAAGAAAAAGCATGAATGTTGTCTGTACTGAAGAATACACGTGGTGTTAGTCTTCGCTAATTTTTCACCTGTGTAACACAATCATGATGATAGTTAATAGACGAGAAAAATAAAACGTCAGTTATATAGATAAATATTTTGAATAATGTTTTGATTGATTTTGGTTATGCATAGAATAAGAGTGAAAGAAGCAACTGTCTCTTTAACAAAAAAAACACGGCAAACGAGGAAGTATCTGCAATACTTTTAGGTTAATCTTCTAAAAATTTATTTCCAACTACTTATCTTACTATTTTTACTATCAATTTTTATGAACAATCTTCATCATCACGTCAATATCATATTTTTGTTTTCATCTATATATGTATGTATATATATACATAGTACATGGTCATATGGGGTCTTTAATATACGCACTTCAAATTAATTTTCAATCTAATTTTTTTTGATAAGTTTTGATTTAGAGAAAACAAATTGATATAGTTACTATAGCGAAATAATTTCTTAAGTTAAGAAGTGTGTGTAAACATAAGTTCCTAATAATTTTCTAATTTATCTATATTTTTTGTTGTTTTGACTTTGTATTTATGAAACATATTACATTTTCGTATATGTTGATAAAAAAGAATATGTGCTTGAGACGAAATTTCTTATTTATCATTTTTGTATATGACTTAAATTCAAAATAACAATAATCCTGAACGAAAAAAAAAACTGATTTCTTCTATCATTACAAATTGTAAAGTTATTTTTATTGAATAGAAAAAGAATGCGTCATTTCATTCTATTGCATAATACGAAGCGGAACAACGTCGTTGTTTTTTTTTCTCAAAAATAGCATTAATTTATTCGACGTTCTTATACTACACTCAATGACATTATTCGTGTCGATTCCTTAAGCAAGTCAGAGAAAACGAAGAATTGAATAAAGAAAGTTATTGAAAAAATTACTTTTTTATCATTCTGTTTTTAAAACGGAATTATAAAGTAAAAAGAATCAATCAAAATGCATTTTTATCAGCTCATTACCTATTATATTTCTTGTCATTTATAGAATATTTTCTTTCATATCGAAGTGTTAGAAAAATTTCTCTGGAGAATATAAAAACATTACTACAAAGAGCTTCATTTGACATCTAAATCATACTTTTTTTTCTAACTTTTACTATGCAATTTATCAAAGATGATTTCAATAATATTAAAACATTATTCAAAGTAACACAACTATCACTCATAAGAAACATTATTCAACTATAATGATGATTTTTACTGGGTGATATTTATGATAATCGGAGCATATATATATATATATTTAACATAAACGAACAGTCGTAAACTTTTCAATATATTTGATACAAGATCATGTCTAATTGCTTGATTTATATTCCAATATTGTTTCAATCAATAGTGTAAAGCAAATAATGTAGAAAAAATGAACTTGTTGCTAAAAGAAGTCAGTCTTTATCTTTTTTCGAGGCAATTATATTGATATTGATAATTTATCTAGTTCTAATCAGTAAATATCATTATGAAATTTAAAAAAAAAACTCTATTTCGTTGTTGATTTTTGGATTGACTTGAATAGTTAATGAGCTAATTAATCAAATACATCAATCAGAAATAGACAATTATTTTCTTCTGATAGTTTATATATACATATCTATGTATATTGTATTGCGTGATTCACCTGTGTACATATCTACGCACTTATCATAATATCTGTTTTGCTTTTTATGTAATATATAGGTCATATTGAATAATAGTCTAACGATCGAAAAGAACATTCGATAGTTACAGATGACCGAACATTACATTTATATAAATAAAATAAATCAACTTTCGATATACTCATATACGACAAAGTTCAGTTCAAATTTATCAACGAAATAAAACGATAGGAGAAAGAAAAAACATGAAATCAAACTATGAATATAGTAACATTTTCTTCTCATTTAATTCTTTCATTATTTTATTTGATTAATTAGATTGGAATCAACAACAAGCTGATCTTTATTCAAGTGGAGATACATCCTTACATTCTGTTCATGGAGAAATTCATGCTGGACCTCATTCAATACCAGCACATACTGATAATGGAATAGATCCTAATCTATTAAATAATAATAATAAAAATAATGATGATTCAGGTGCATTTGTTACTGCTGGAACAGCTGGTCAACAAGGATTTGATGTTCGTACATTAGGTTTAAGTGAACAAGAATTAAAAGCAACAGGTTTACATCCATCATTAACTCAAAATGGTCGTCAACTTCCATTAGATCAATATAAAATAAATTATGATCCAAATCCAATTATTATTCGTAAACAAATTCCTGTCGAAATGCCTACTTATAAACAACAGGTCATTGTTCGATATCGTAAGAAGCAAATAAAAAACAAACAAAAATCACGATTTCATCATTTTTAAAAACCTTTTTTTTTCTACTTAGTTCGACCTCCAACACCACCTTCACCAGGTCCATTGATTATAAAAGAAATTCGAGAACCTCAGCCAGCTGCAGCTCCACCAATTGTTATACGTACACGAGCACCTCGAGAAAAAACACCGCCACCAATAGTTATTCGAGAAGCTCCACCAAATCTACCTCACATTGATACTAATCCACAATATGTCACACGCGTTGTTCGTAATAACGAATCATCATATTCATCTCCTCCTTTTCGTCAACAACAACAACAACAACCAAGACAATATCAACAATATCAACAACAACAACAACAACAACAATATCAGCAACAAAAACAACAATATCAACAACAACAGCAACAGCAATATCAACAATATCAGCAATATCCACAACAAAGACAACAATATCAACAACAACAACAACCATATCAACAATATGGATCATTTGACAATGCTGCAGTCAATTATGATCAATTTAATGATATTCAAATTGGAAATCAATATGGTAGTGGACTAAACAATTTTGGAGGGCAACAACAACCAAAATGGATTACAGAAGTTGTATCAAGTAATGGAACAACATCGACAGCTCCACCTCATATTTTAGGTATATTAAACTATAATTTTTTCTTATTAAAATTTTAACAACTTTTTTTTAATGTTTAGATGATGTTTATCGAGCACTTAACAATCAATTACCACGTGTATAATCGATCAAATCTTATGCTTTGTTAACGTCATTTTTATCTTCTTTTTTTTTTGCTTCTGCATAGAATTCGATGTAGAAAATTTCACGTAGTGTTGAAACAAGCTAATAATAATAATAAAAAAAAAAATATTTATAGCCATACGATGTTATAATTTTTCTGTGATAAAATCCAGCCAGAAAAAAAAAAGAATAAAAAAACCTTCTGACATCTGCATCTATCTACTTAACATAGGCGCTTTTCCTCACCTTAAATTGTGCTTTTTTTTTATATAGGAAACGCACTCTGTTTTATTATCTTTATTTTTATGAGCAAAAAAAAGATCACGCTGGTGAAAAACATGCATTGTTCATTATTCAAAATTTATTTCAGTCCAACACGATCTATTTTCTTTTCTTGATTTATATTTATTTTTTTTTTCTCTAAAATCAACAGACTACATACTTTTTATTATTCTAGTCAATAAAGCAAAATGTTAAATATTTTCTCTATATATACATGTTGATGCATTCTTTGATTTTTTTATCACATCGTGAGATAAAATACGAAGAATATTTTTCTATCAGACAACGAAGAATGGATACTGATATACTAATAAATGTACGTGGAAATGTTCAAACACTTCGAAATATGTGGAGTGAAATAGTACAAGAGAAACAGAAATCAACAAAACAACAATCACTTACCTGTTCATCATATTCACAAATATCACAGAAAAAATTAATCAACGATAATATTCAAACTTCTATTAATATGAATGAAACAATAAGCAACAACGAATTGAAGATTATAGATGATAATGAAAGTAAGATAATTAAAATCAATATCATACCAATCGATACTAGACAGATTTCAAAAGAAATGAATCTTCTACAGACGATATAAAAATTATTCTAATTAATTTTAAATTTGATGGTCAATTCTATGCTTCTTGCTAAACATAGACAGAGTTAACTAATCGTATACCTGTTTAATGTCAAATTATTATTCTTTTTCCTATTTTAGAACCATGCAATATGGAATCAATTGAGCAATCATCATCATCATCGATTAATGATGCGGATGATTTTTTACCACTGCCTGCACCACCATCATCTGTAATTTTTCAAAATCAAGCTCAAACAGTTAGAACACTTAAACATAGCGTTATGAAAATGTTTGATATTGATAAAAAGAAAACTCATATTAATGTAAAAAATAATGGTATTCGTCATTGGCATTTAGCTCGTCATGTATTTCGAAGTGGTCTTATATTTAGTCCATCAAGACGTGCATCTGATAGTATAATACCAATATTAATGAAAACAAGAATTACACAATATCATACTCGAACAGAAAGTCTTGATAGTATTTATAAACAAACTCCATTTCAAACTCTTATTGATTATCTTTCATATGATAATGATGAAAATATGAATTTATTAGAGAAGAAAACAAATGTTGCACGTACTATATCAGATACAACTGCTTGTATACAACGAAATAAATTAAATGATACCATTGCTCAATATGAAACAATAATGAGACATTTAAAAAATTATGATAAATTTAAAGAAACATATCCAATGACATCATCATTAACATCAACACAAAAAACAATAAATACTAAACAAATAATGAAGAAAAGGGAAGAATTTATTCAACGAAATTTAACGAATAAATTAGCAATTCGAAGTTCACAAACACAATCATTAGCAAGAAGTGCCGGACGTACATTTACAGAATTTATAATGAATGATCTTTTAACATCAAATATATCACAACAATCGTCTAATATGCAATTATCTGTTCATACAGCATCACAAACTGAATCAATTGAAATATTACAACCAACTGAATCAATTAAATTAATTGAAAAAATTGAATCAATTCCTATAGAAGAAACAAATGCAATTATAAATGAACTTGATACTGTTCTTAATAATACTGAGGCAGAAGTTCAATTAACTCCTAACAGTGAAATCAATGTTATTATTGTTAATTTTTCTACTACAGAAGAAGAAAACATTGTGAGATAAAAGAAAAAAAAAATAATTGATTAGATTTATTTTATTTTGTATAAAATATTATTATTTGTTTTTTAGACACAACCTAAAGAAAAACCACTTATGCAACGTTTATTTGAAGGAAAAAAGACTGCATATACATCACATGATCTTGATATGGAATTAAATCGAATACGTTCGTTAATAGATTATATATTTTTTTTTTTTTCTAAAATTAATTTTGTTTTCTAGCTGAAGAATTGATGCAAACATATGAAATTGCAAAGAAAAAATGTTTTTTTCCATCAGAGAATATTCTAGTAAGTATTTAGGAATACTAAATTATCATGTGCTTAATTTTTATTATTTGATTAAATGTTTTTTCATGATTTTCTCCGAAATCCTGTAGAGTACTAGCATGCGAGATAAAGGATTTCTATGGTCGCTTTTGTCCATGTCTCGAATGTGTGTTGTCGCGTTTGTCTGTCCAATATCTCCTGTGCTGGCACTTAATTGAGTTTTCAATGATACCCGTATAAGACATCCTATGTATTATTTTAACGAAAATAGAGCTTTTGTTGTTTAATATAAACGAAATATGACGGAATTTTTAGTAAGTTATTAGCTATTAGTTGTCATAAGTAATAAAGGATAATAAATTATTACTGTAATAAAGTAATAACAAAGCTGAAAGTACAACATAATATTAATACCAAGAACAGTTAAGCTATTCATATCAGAGACTTGTATCTCAGTTTAGTTGCTCGTTTTTTATTTATATTCTTCTGTACAATGAGAATAACGATTTTTCCTATCATTTACTAATATATGTTATACAATGTTGTTATGAGAGAATTGTCTAATTAAAAGATTAAGTGACATTTATAGAATACCGTTTGTCTTTATTTATTAAATAGAATAAAACGTTTTTTTTTTGACTATGCTACTCATCACATTTTGTTTACTTATGAAGAAAATGAACGTTATTTGTTTTAAATAGCTAATGATGTCGTGGCAGCTGTCTGAAATACCAGAAAAAACGATTTTTTGCGTTTCAACTTAAAACTTTGCATAGAGATAAGCTTTAATGTGAATAGTTTATTATGAGAGATTCAGATCTTTTTGTTGTTCCTATCCTAAGATGTCATTACAATAAAAACATTGTTTTTTACATCGCGTTCATACACCAATAGATTCCATGTTCTAATTTCAATATAGAAGCAAATCAAACGATGTAAAATTCTTACAATAAGCTATGCTTATTGAGACTTGGCTCTGTACAAAGTTTTCAAGTCGAAATTCAAAAATCAATTTTCTAAGTATTTCTGAGAGATACCACAGCACTGATTTAACAAAAAATATCGTAAAAATACAGTATCTCTTCAGCAATATGTTAAGAATCCAATTTTTTTTTGTCAGAATATTCATAAATCATTAGAATCTTCCTGATGACCATAGTTATGACTAAAAAGTAATTAATCAGTTAGAGAACTTCTCTCGTAGTTAAGTGCCTACATAACAGTCGCCTTCTATTAATACAAATATCTTATACTACAGAGAACAATTAAAACAGAGCATCAGATTTTTCTTATTTAATAATTTCATTAATAAGATAAACTTTCATCTTTTCGAAATTTAAAATATATGTTATTATTAAGCACTTATATGGTCCAAGATAATTAATAATGAAAATATTGTTTAAAATCGCATAGAAAATGTTGCATGTGCTTTTCAGCTTACATAAAAACATTGAGACTATATAAGTTCTATCAATAACGGCATAAATATGAATTGCCTTCGATATTGAAATAAATAAGACCCAATGTTTTTATGTGATTGTAATGTAAAAGTTGAAATCCAACCGATGATTGGAAATATTTCTACTTTTTTATTTCGTATAGTACTTAATTCTTTTCGAAAATAATTACCAATTACCAGTAATGGCAGTGTAACACTCCCAATTAGTATATAAACATATGTAATATGTAATTTTGACGTAAAATTTATCCATAAGATGTGTTCTTCTCCTAAGGTCTTAACTAAATTTGAACTTCTCTTGTAGATATATTGCTGTTTCAACCATTGACCAAGTATAAGTTATCCATCTTGACTAGAATTTTTACATTATTCTGAATACTGCATAACTTATTAGTAAATAAAATATAAATTTCGATTCATCGATTTTTTCATAAATAATGTTGTATAGACTGAAAGTTCAGTAAAATAGAAATCACTACTAAAGAACGATTTATATGCATTAAGTCTTTAATCATTAAAATATGATCATATATGTGGACTTATGAAAAATAAATTATCACTTACTAATATATATGTATATTAACATATTAAAATTCTAGATAAAATAAATATTATAATTGGAAACATCTTATCAGACCTAAGTATAATTTTTAAAAGAAAAAAATTTTTTTTTTTGTCTCATAATATCATTTTTGAAACATTATTTTTCGACATTAATCAATTTATCTTAATAACTTTTGAGATGAGAAAACAATTTGATTGACTGATCGACAAAGAAAGAAGAATACTACTGCCTTTCGATTACCTTGAAGTACGAATTTCGAGAATGATAATTATGTTTGTTTGTTTTTTTGCTAAAACTTGTATCGAATGATTTCTTTTTTTCTAGTATGCAACAAAAATGATTAAAATTGATCGTCGAGGTTATAAACAACGTATTCGAATTCTATGTTTAACAACGGAACGTGTTTATATAATAACAAAAAAAGATCCGTATCCAAAAGAAACTCTTTTTTTCAAAGATATTCTTGGTATTACATGTACACCATGTAAAGATGGCTTTATATGCCTTCATACAAGAGAAATACGTGACGATCGAGTAAAATTAAATTGACATTTTTTTTTTTCATAGAAATTTATATTGAGAATTTTTAAGGGTGATTGGATTTTTCTTATTGATCATCCATGTGAATTTATTACACAACTTTTTATGGCCATGAAACGAAATCATAATGATGATAATTATCTCAAAATTGAACCTAAGTATAAATTAAAAAAAAAAAGAAAAAAAGTCTTATGAATCAATTTCCTTTTCTTTTCGTCGTTATTAGATTTAAACATGGACGTCGAAGCACAGGTTCTATCAGATGTTTAAAATAGGCTTCTGTTTTTTATTTATTTTATATATATATATTCTTTTATTTAGGTACAGTATCTGATGAATGTTTAATCGAAGTTCGTCCATCGAAGACATTTCATATTGAATACGAAAATTATGAAGTTTTAGTTATTGTAAGGAAAATTATAAATTTTATATAAATAAGATTTTCATCTTTCTTTTATATTATTTTAGTACACACAATAATCGAATATTTAACTGAACTTTTTTTCCTTCTTGCCATTGTTATTGTTGCTATGTTGCTGCTTCTGCTAAATATTGCTTTATTGAAACACATAAGACAAAAAATAACTGAGAAAATTTGAAATAAATGAACCTAAATATGTCTATCGAAGTCAATAAGACATTCTTCAATTTTCATGAATTCTGTGTTCTAGAGAATTTTCAAAGTCAGATATGAATCAAAAATGAAAATGATGTTTAGTTTGAATGCCAGATATCTTTCATTATTGGGCCATGAAATCTTGTCTTCTATTCAATATTGTATATTTCGAATCAAACTGACAGATAATTAAGCATTGTATTATGAAGAACAAAAGAAAGACTTCCTTTTGTTAGTAGATTTGTAACACGACAGCTATCATAGAGTGGCTACGTTTGTTCGACACGTATTTATAAGGTGCTGTATGAACATTGTCAGGAACATTTTAAAACGTTCACTATACAGAGGTATTCAGTTTAGAGAGTTGACGCATATTTTGTTGTGAAATAAAGAAAAAATTTCAGAATATCTCTTTCTTTATTAGTCTTAAATAAAAGTCTGATTATTTATTCTTTTGTTCATCTCAAGGATTAGAATTGAAAGATTTTTCAATACTAAATCAAAATTTAATTTAAGAAAAAGAATCATCTAATGTTATTTGTTTTCTAGCTTGTGACTTAATATAAACATCAGCTAATTCGAATTCGAATTCATTAATTAATGGATGCTATTGTTATTGCTATATTGTTGCTAATCAATGATTCCTTCGTATCATTTTCATTGTTTCCGTGGTGTTTTTTTTTAACATTTGAGCCCATCGAGTTGAAATTCAAGTCTGAAAAAGATTCAATAAACCGGATCCACGTCATCATCATCAACGGTACCATCTTATTCATTAGTATCTGATATAAAATTTACTTACTCGTAGTGCATAAGAAACAGGTGAAAAACAGTATAAAGGGCATATAATAGCAAGAGGGACTGCAAAAAAAGTGTTCGACTACTATTCAGAATAAGAAGGCAATCACATTAGAGAAAATCCATATCATCTCTTTTTTTAACAACTGTGCTACGATTCGTAATCGGAAACATGGAAAGTATTTCTAGCAAAAATCGTTCGGTCAGACCTGAGACCGTTCATAATCAAGAAATGTTCACTAGTAGAGGTTTTACTATATTTATTCATTAAGAGAATATACAAATCGTTTTCATGTCAAAAGAAGAATTACTAATACTAAGCATATTTTAATTGAAATGAGAAAATCAGACAATTTTTTCTATGCTGATATCTCTTGTCTTGATAATTGACAAGCTTTATATCAAATACTGTACGTATACTTTTCAGTATTTTTCGACATCTATCGTCGCTATATTATGATTATCATTTCATAACGTTTCATTGGATTGTACATATTCTCATATGTACATTTTTTGTCTGTTCTCAAGTCATTTATTATTGTTTTTTGTTCCTTTAGAAATGAATATTAATGATTTGATAAGAATAAATTTCATAATGAATTTAGAAAATTTATTGGTATATGGCTTTGTTTACACTAGAACAAATAATTCAGTATTAATTTCGATTAAAATCTGTGTGCGTCTACCCTTATCAAATTTAATTCATCAATCAGAACTGAACAATGACCATTATAATATAGTTGAAGTGCATAGTTCTAGCACATATTCACGAAACAAAATGTTTATCGCTCTGACTTATTTCTTTCGACTACAGATTCGTTAAATATTGTAGCGTTGCTTATCTTTATGTTTCAGTTTCTATTCACGTATATTCTACAGTTCATTATGTTGAAAATATCTATCTATCGATAACTTAAAGCGATCTTATTGAGACACATAGATCATTTTAATTAGTGAGTCAAGTTCTTTCTCAATTGATACATTAAATCTGAATTAACTTTTCCAGTGTAGACAAGACATAGTTATTTTTATTTTAGACGTATATTTCAATATTTATATAAACGAAAAAGTTAATTTATTACTGATGTTTTCGAATGTTTTCAAGTTTCTCTAATTGGTTTAGTCAATTTTTCTTCAGTATGGAAAATGATTCATATCAAAGCCAACATGATTATCAACAACAAGCTGCTGAACATCTACGTCAAGCATTGGAATATGATGAACAATCAAGTATATTATTTTTTCATGTTTCTTTTTCTTTTAGTTTTTCAATTTATAAAATAGAAAATCCTGAATTGGCTATTTCATTATATAAAAAAGGCATCGAAAATTTAGAAACAGCAATAAATTTAAATATTGATTCAAATGGTAAAACCTTCAAAAAATACTATTCTTTATATTATTTATTTCAATAATAGATAATCGTGCTATAGAATTACGTACAAAAATGCGTAGAAATTTAGCTATGGCTCGTGAACGAGTTGAAGTATTAGGTAAGTCTATAGTTTCATTCAGAGATGTGCTCTGTTTCGTGTTTGTCTTCTATGGTTGCTGGAGAGGCGTGTCTGTACCATAACACTTGCTAAGTTCTATTACTAGGACCTAGTTTTTATTGAATAAAGAATGTACATCAAACGCTGACAGTGAAGAAAAAGAAATTGAATCGTTGGCAAACTTGTTCTTTATCGGATAGTATTGGTCCTATTACTTCATTTGTTGAATTTATAAAGTAAATCGTTAGCGATTCAACTTGAACCTAAATTTTTTGCAAGATAAGTTAAAATTGAAATGGGTGCCCTATAAATATGTGTCAAAGTCTGACTATATCTTGCATGATTAAGGCGTTGGTTATTCAAAATTTGAGCGAAATTATTTTTTGACGTGTTCAGAGGATGTTTTTGTACTGAATTTTAGGAAAATTAGGTTTAAAAATATTAGAAAAGCCAATGAAAATACGTCAATTGCTTTTTGAAAAAATCTTATTTGGATTGTTGAGAAAATCGATTTTTTTTCAATATGATATCAGAGAGGTCATAAAAATATTTCATATTCAAAACTGGTTTTCATCAAATTTCGATCCTTTTTACTACTACCTCACTGCTATTTTCGAACACTAAGTATAATATTTCATGCAGATTTTTGTTCTGATTTTGATGACTTTTCTGTTATCATATTGAAGAAAATGATTTTTTTCAATAATCAAAAAATGTTTTTCTAACTATATGACGGATAAATACTAAGATTATCAAGGCTTGATGTGTTTTTGTCATATTTCAATTTTTATAGACTTTTCTGATACTTATAAACTTAACTTTGTTTAATTTCACTACAAAACCATCGTCTGAAGTAACTTGACGCGCTCTATCTAACTATGACAACAAAATGCCAAAAGAAATTTTACTCAAGTTCCGCATTATCGATACCTCAAATATTCGTTTGTGGCATTTTCAAATTTATATTGTTGTTTATACTCGAGTGTCCAAAAATGAAACACTTTCTTATGAAATATTATAATGCCCCACATATGAGAAAAAAATATCTCTGATCATCGTTAGGTGCAACCATTTGGCGATGTCACCTCGTTTTTTAGATGCGGTGAACATCCTCAGTCTTTTTGTTCGTCTTCTCCGATAATGATATACAAGTTTGAATTGTTGTTTTTTTAGGAAAATTAATTCAAAATAGTTCCAGTCCATTGATTAAAGCTAATATTCGACCAACTAAAGTTCAACGTCCAGTACGACCTCGTAGTATTGCTTCAGCACCTTCAGTAAGTATTATATAAGCTTTAATCTCAAACTTGCTATTAATAAATCACTTTGCTTGCATGTGTTTCAAGTCTGCTTCATCTAATTGTCGTTCTCGTGTTATGTCGCCTGCTCTTACCTCTTCCTCATCGATGCGTTTAACTCCTACATTAAAACAACCACCTACAAAAATCTTTAATGTGAAAAAACACTATTTCGTTTTACATTATATATATCAAGGAATATTTCTAGAATCGAAAAAAAGAACTTCCATCAACATCAAATATTAAGAAAATACCAACACAAAACCAAACTCAACAAATATCACTTAAATTACCCAATATCGAACAGAAACTTGTTTCATATATTCTTGATGAAGTTATTGAAAATAGACCACATGTCAAATTAGATGATATTAGTAAGTTCTTATTTTTTATAAAAAAATCTTTATTATCTTAAAAAGAACACCCCGATACACTTTCAGAAAGTTATTCGATAGAGAATATTTTTGCTCTTCAAAGATGTTACATTTGTTTTTCAAATAAATTTTTCTTATTAGAACAAAATTTAAGATATTAATACTTATTCAATCATCCGATTATGACGATTAAAGAAAAAAAAGCGGAAAAAATAATGCAATTTTTTTTTAACAATAGTTTGCTGAAATTTCAACTGTACCATAAAATTTTGAATATTTTCGTATATATTTCAGAATAACATTGCAAAAAAAAACTCTTGCCTGACCTGATCATATCATTGTTAATTCGATACAAACTAATCGCTTTTTATTCTTCAACTTAACAGTCAAACCATTTAGATCATAATTAAATTGCACATCTGACAATATAAAAATAACTGTTTCTCACGTTGGAAAAAAAATTTTTTTCTAATTAGACATACAGGCAAAAGTACTACTAGGTATTAATTCCAGATCTATTTCTTATGAACGATAGAAACATAGAGCAAGAACATTGCATTTCTTTTTGAATTAGTCTTGATAAACAAAGGCTTACAAAATTACACAAAAAAAAATCCACAATAAGTCGATGGGGCAGACAATGCTATTTGAAATTTGAGTTCAATGAAAAAAAAAATTATTTGAAAAACAAACGTAACATTTTTTTTTTTGAGTGAAAAGTTATCTATCGAATGACTTTCGATTCTATTTAATCTGCATCACTTGTTACTATCCTTGTTCTTCAATTGTTTATTTAAAATCAGAATTTTTCGCTTTTTCCAAGCATATGTTCAGATTTTTCTGGATAAAATAAATAGGTATCAGTAAACTTTATGACAAAGAGTACAAAATTTTGTCTGTACAAGGCAAAGTAGCGGCTTCAAGGCTGTCCTTAGTTTGTGTCCTGGAACAGGTTTAACTCAACATTATCGTAGAGCTTTGAATGAGATATTACAATAAGCGAAATTTTATTTATTTGTATCCATTAAAGAGTAAATTTCTATGGAAATCGATGTTTCAATAAAACACTTGTTAAAAATACAAAAGTAAATAACACGCATTGTAAAGCAAAACTTTCCTCTACGAATCTGAGTCATTAGAAAACTGTTTCACATGTTGAATTTGATCGGTTTCAATTGGTACAATCACTATTTTGAAACAATCTGATAATAGATTGTTCAAATCCATATTTTACACTTGTCTTATCTTGATTTTTTATGCCATTGTTATGTATTTCTTTTGTTTGAATATTTACTTATACATAGTAGCTATCATTTTTCAATAGTGATTTAAATCAATTTTTCTTATTTAAATAGCTATAAAATGCATTGTCATTGATTTAGAAACTAAATATTCATTAGGAGTGGTTCTGAGCATGACGAGTATTATTTGAGGATGACCAGAAAAAGAAACATACTTACAGATGCTGTAACATTCTATTAACGATTATGTTTTGTTAAAAGAATCTATATATCATATCAAGAATGTCAAGAACTACTGAAAAGTCAATAGAAATGAAGAAAATATAGATGCTAATATCAATAGAGAAATAGACGAGAACCGTTAATAACTTTCAAATAGAGAGAAAAATTGGCAACAGTACTTCTAAACTCAATTATAAAAGTGCTTGATAGACATGAAAAATGTTATTTGTCTATATAAATTGATTGTCATCGTTGTAGACTTAAACTCTAAAATAGCTAAACTTCAGAACCCCGACCGGAACAATAAATTAAATTTTGTAACTGACTCCGAGTCAAGCATAAATCCAGTTCGATGATCTGTGAGTAATATTATACTATTGTATAGTCTATAATGCCCTCTAGTAAACATTCAAGTATGATGAGAAAATAAGAAAAATTCGTTTTAGTAAAGTGATTAGATAATATAGAATAATGTAAATTTTAAATGTTTATTTTACTTTACAGGTGGTCAAGAAGGAGCTAAACGAGCACTTGAAGAAGCTGTTATTTTACCTGTTCTTCGACCAGAAGTAAATAATTTTTAGATTTAAATAAATGAAACAAATAATATACAAAGTTTTTTCTCTTAATAGATGTTTACTGGTTTACGTGCACCTGTACGAGGTATTTTATTATTTGGACCACCTGGTAATGGTAAAACAATGCTGGTAATTAAAATCCATATTGTACAATAATGAATTATTTCTATATTAATAGGCAAAAGCTGTGGCTTCTGAAGCTAAAGCACGATTTTTTAATATTAGTGCATCAAGTTTAACATCAAAATATGTCTGTTTCATATTCATCTTTCTATATATATATATGTATATGTATAATCGTTATGATTTTCTGTTCTATTAGCTTGGTGAAGGTGAAAAATTAGTTCGAGCTTTATTTGCTGCGGCTCGTGAATTACAACCATCGATTATCTTTATTGGTTGGTTAATATCTTTTATATTAGATCTTCATTTATCATCTTATTTACAGATGAAGTAGATTCATTACTCACAGCACGTAAAGAATCCGAACATGATGCAATGCGTCGACTTAAAACTGAATTTCTTATTCAATTTGATGGTGTAAGAGAAATAACAAGAAAGAAAATAAATAATTAATATATTTATATATATATATAGGTTCAAACAAATAATGATGATCGTATTCTTGTTCTTGCTGCAACAAATCGTCCATTTGAATTAGATGATGCAGCATTAAGGTATGAAAAAAAATTAAAAATTCTTTTTTTTTTTTCTAGATTGATATTTTTTATTTTCAAGACGTTTTCCTCGTCGTATTTATATTCAATTGCCAGATATTAAAACACGTGAACAACTATTAAAATATTTACTTAATAAACAAGAACATAATTTAACAGACAAGAATTTTCGATGGATTGCTAAGTAAGCAAAAATAAAAATTTCCTTTTTCTTTTAAAATTTTTTTATGATTTCGATAATAAGAGAATTTTTTTTTTTTTTTTGTTTTCTTAAGTGAAACTAATGGTTACTCAGGTAGTGATTTAACTGCTTTAGCAAAAGATGCTGCAATGGGTCCTGTACGTGAATTAGATGTTGAAGAATTAAAACAACTATCAATTAATCATATTCGTCCAATATCACAACAAGATTTTGTTCAAGCCTTAAGAAAAATTCGAGCGAGTGTATCACCATTAACACTTGATAAATATATTAAATGGAACTCGACATTTGGTGATTGTAGTTCATAAAAATAAATTATTATCTTTCTGTATTTTTTTTTTATTGTATGCATGATTATCATTCTATTTTTTTTACAATCATCCTTATTTTTTTTTCTTTTGTTTCTTTGTATCTAGTCACGTGTAAAAATCTAAAGTTGACATTTCATATACATGCACACAAAAAAAAAAAAAGAATAATACAAATGATTTATTTTTCTTGATCAAGTGTTCGATTTCTTTTTTCATTCAGACAAAATAGATAAATAATGTATGATTTTTGTATATTATATCAATAAATCAAATTTATCTTCATTCGTCGTCATACAACACAATGACAACGAGATCGAATGTAGTGCAATATGACTTAAATTTATCAACAAATTGCAATGACATCGACCTAGTCACATTGGTTTTTTTTTCTTTTTTCCAACATACTATGAATGAAAAAAAAAAAAAGACTTTTTTTTTTCATAATAATTCTTCAACAATAGAAAAGATAAAATCAAACTTATATAGTTTTTTTATATATGATAGAAATAAAGAAAAAGCTAATTACATCATTGATAATGATTACGATCAACTCGTATGGCGTAAGCGTCCTTTTTCCCGACTTGTATGTAAGAATATTTTCTTATCCTTTATCCAAACATCTGTTAATATCACTGATGGTCGTTCACCAGAAAAAAAAAAAAGAGAATTTCGCTTACCTACACATATAAATGATATGACAGAGTCACTTCTTTTACAACTCTTTTTGAAAAAATAAATATACATATGGCACACATCAAGACATAGAATACGAGAGTAAAGTGGATTGTAACAGAGTAAAAGGAACGAGAGAGAGACAGAGAGAGCGCGAGAGAGCATACAGCATTTACCGTTGCGAGCGTCAATCGAATCGAAAAAAGAAAGAGAACGACAACAACAGAGAATAGCATACCTGTACACACCATCACCATCAGGGCAGAGGCAAGAGGAGCAATTGAAATAAAATAAAAAAAGGAGAAAATATATATATATATGCACATCGTCGTAGCGACGACAATAACAACGATCATGCAAGGTCTCAATATAAAACTCTTCTTTGCCTTGCATATAACAAAGAAAAAAAAAACAACACAGACACACACACACAATACACACGAAAACTCGTCTTCCCGTTCCTTTTTTCCCTCTCAGCTACTGTGCATATACGATAGAGGAAAAAGGATGGATACACACAAGAAAAAAGAAGAAAAAAAAAAAAAAAGGAAAAGAATATATCGATATATGTGTGTATATATCTAAGCGTATATTTATATATATTTCTCGTTTGTATGTACGAGTGTACAATTCTTTTGCTAGCTTGTGATATTTCTGACATACACACATTCTGCTCAAGGTGTAGAAAAGGCAAAGAGCGAGAGAACATATTAAGAGAGATTACAATAACTAACTATATAGATATCTATTCTTTCTAGTGTCTCATACCTCAATTAAAGACAAATATAAGAAGTCCTATGATAATTACCTATATGAATATATATATGTCCAACTTTCTTTCACATACCTTCCAAACGAATGACTGAGCTTTATGTTCGTATGTTAAAATGAAATATATTTCATCACTCTCTTTCTCTCTTTCTTCTAATTATAGTAGCTCTTTCTCTTTTTCTCTCTCTCTCTCTGTCTCTATGTATGCACAAACAGACACAACACTTCAACTGTAGCGAGCAGGTAATAAGAAGACTTTAAAATTTTTTTTCTACCTCTTAGAAAAGACTGTCACATTCGAGTGCCTTTCTCTTTCTCTCTCTCTCTCTGTCTCTTTGTAATCAAACAAAGAAAGAAAGATTGATTTTTCTGCCGCATAGAAAATGCTATAATGGTACTTCTCAAATTTTTTTTTTTCTTTAACGTAATTGAACTATGTAAACAAAGTGAACTAAAAGAATTCATGCCGTTGTCAATGATACACAAATGAAATTAGCCTGTGAGGCAAGTCGAGCCTTTTGATTTATATACATATTCAAAATGGAATCATCCATTTTCGAATAAAACAAGAAGCTCTCTTGAGTATAAAAGAAAATGAATGCTTGAAATTTGTTGAATGGAATCATATTAAAATCAAAAATGAGTAAGATGGAAATTGATTTATAATTGATCGAAATAAAATGATGATTCCATAGAAATTATTATCATGACAAAAGAGATGATTTATTTCATCAATAAATATGTCTATTGATTTTTCAAAAAGTGTATAATAAACATAGTAGTTCATTATTTAATAAATTTTTTTCCTATTGAACAAATATATCATGAAATATTTATGGAAATAATGTAGAACTTGTGAATAACAATTTATTAAAATATTGATGGAAGCGAGTTTTAGTTTTTTTGAAAATAAGTTTCAAATCTTTTCTTATAGATTATTTTTTATGAAAAAAAAAAAAAAAGATGAAAATGATATCCAAAACGTGATTGAGACAGAGATGTAATCGTATACTTGAAGAGTTAATACTAAGGTTTTATTTCGTAATAAGGGAATCCATAAGAATATTTTTCTTTTTCATTCATAACCAAAATTGGATGCAGTTGGTTTTTGAAACTGATTAATAAGTAAAAGTAAATCACATTTCTTTTTATTTGAGAATTCATATATATATATATATATCTTTATTTCGTTTAAAAGACAAAACATTTTCGTTAATTTACTTAGTTTATTACGTTTGAAAACTGTTTCTTTTGGTTTCTTTACTTCGAAAGGTTCCTCTTCTCTAACGACAAAATTTCTTCTTTTTTTTTTTTCATAGAATTTTTAACAAAGTCACATAATCAAAAGAAACAAACAAATTTTGTATTGAACTAATATAATATTTTAGTGATGTGTCTTATCAACGAAATAAAAACATTCATTTCATATTACGAGTAAAATATAAATGATCACTTAATTTAAATTATAAACGTGAATATAAATAAAAAAATTTAATAAAATTTAGTCAACAATTGAAAACAAACATGCACGATCAAACACTTCAAGCAATATTACGTTCAATTCAATGTTGTCAGCTTTAATTTCTCGAACAATCTATTTAGATATTTTATTTCATTTCTAAAATAGTTTCTGTAAAGAATAGAAATTTTCTTTCTCTCTCGTTCTTTCATTGACATGAAGGTGTTGAAAAAAAGAATCGTAATGCCATGCGCATTTCATTCTCAATATTTTTTATTACCAGCATGCAACAACGCGTGAAGATTACTATTGACGACAATGATGATGATGATGATGATGTTCAACAAGAAGTTACTGATACTATTGAAAAATTTGTTCAATCTCGTCATGTACAAACATTAAAATATTTACGCCATGTTATTGATGAAAATCGTCATTTAAGATTACATATTGAACATCTTAAACGACGTCAAAATGAGCCTGTAAAATCACCTGCTAATGTTGATCCAATCGAACCCGAAGAAACTTCAATTACTGAAATACCATTAGAAACACCTGAAGTACATGAAATGATTTTGTTTATCTTATACATATATATATATATATCTATATTTAAACAAATTGTTTTTCTTTTTATTGTTTTAAAAGCTTATATTCGATCCTGAACATATTGATGAAGCAACAAATACTGACGGAAATGATTTTGAAACACAATATCATATATTAAATGATGAATTAATTAATCTTAAAAAACAACATAATATCAATCGTGAAGAATATCAACGTGAACTTGAACGTGTTGATCGTAAAAATATTCAATTAGAAAAAGATTTAAAATCTGTTCAACAACAATTAATTATTGTACAAAAAACTGTTAATGATAAACAAATAGAAAATCAAAATCTTACAACAACAGTTTCAGATCAAAAAATGTTCAATGAAGCATTAAATATTCGTGTAAATAAACTTGAACAAACAAATAAACTTTTAATACAATCATTAAATGTATCAGAAGAAACTCGTATTGAATTTGAAAGACAATTAAATGAATTACAAGAAATATATAATCAAACAGAACAAAATTTATCTCAATTACAAATTGAATATAAAAATATTCAAACATATATGCATAGATCTGAAGAAGAAATTCAATCATTAAAAGAAAAATTTAATTTTCAATTAAATAAATGTCAAGAATTAAATAATAATAATGAAGAATTAAATGAAACTATTAAATATCTTCAACAACAACTTCAAGAAAAAATTCATCAAGAAGAACAATATATTCGTGAAAAACAATTAAATAGTAATTTTAAAGATTTTGTACAAGCTAAACGTACATTACAAACATGTCAACAAGAAAATGAACAGTTAAAAGTTGAATTAAAAAAATTACAGATAAAATTTTTAAATAAAAATGAATAATCATTTTTCATTGTCAATACAAAATCAAAAACAAAAAAAAAAAAGAAACAAATAGATTTCATATTATAAAATATCAAAAAGCACTACACAGATCAATGATTAAGGTATTCAAGTTCTCCGTAGGTTCTCGTCGTAGAAATCATAGAAACTTGGAAATAAGAATTCGGCTGTTGGATACGGAGCTTGTATAATTTGACCTGAGTATCAGTTAAAGAAAGCAATTTTATTGATTGTATCAACGAAATATAATATATAAATGATCGAACTAAAATTTTAGTAACCTAAAGATTAGAATCATCAAGTTCTACAAATGATTTAAAGATAAATTAAAAATTAGCTAGGATATTGCCTTGTTAGTAACATATACCAGATATAGGCACGGTTCAATACGTAGCTATTCAAACCAGTTTCGCTTTCGGTTCAGTTTACAGACGTGTAGCTTCAGTTTATTGGCCATCGACTGATTACACTGACATCAGTATCCGCTGCAGCACTAAGCTACACTGATACAAAAAGGGCATATTTCGATGTTGTAACGAATGCAAATGTTAGCGTAGTCAGTACTTCAGTTGATCCTGTGTTGGTAACTCTCTATCAGTATTTTACTATTTATTTCAACAACATATATCCTTAGTTTGGTACGATTCTGAGATGAATTTATATAGTTTAGAAAACTATTTCGATAAGCCGTTCAAGAAAAGTGAATAGAGAAAGATGTCATAAGTAGATATAAAACTATTAATGTATTTTCTGGTATTTTTTCGTCTAAGAAAAATAGAAAATAAACAAACTAGTTCTGTTCATTAGGGAGAAAAGCATTTATGTCATGATCAATTTAACCTATGTATATACAATATCAATATTCCTCTCTTTCTAATACGAATAAAGTAAGAATAAATAATAACTATAAGAAAGTATGGATTGATGCATATATAATAATCTCTCTCTTGTATAATAGAAAATCTCAAGTCGAAGCGAATAAATATTCTAGGAAAATTTTCTATTATGATTCTTCTTTGCTAAATATCCATAATTATTTTAGCTCCAGCCTTTTAAAAATTCCCTAGTAAACGTTTCGAAAATCTCGGAAGGATCGAAACACTTCAATAAGGACTTTTCAAATGCATATGATAAATGAGCAAAAGTTTTATTTAAACGGTTATTGAAAAGGTTGTTGCCGAATGAGATCGTAAATTGATTATCTCCTAAGATCTTATTTTTCAATAATATGAAAAAATACAGCATGAAGATTTGCACATTTCGTAGTGTCTATTTATGAACTTTGTTGCATGGCAGAAAAATTATCGTGAACTAAATAGTCTTATATTCGCATAACAACTTTTACGTGTCATTATATAATATATTTTTATGATCGTTTTCAATCATTAGTCATCAAGTATCAGTTGATGATTCATTATTGACTGAGTCACAAATGTTTCATTAAGAAATAATATTAGAAAAGTATCCGAAGAACAATTTTATGTTCTTACATATATATCTCAGAAACACATTCAGTTAATAAATTTCAACAAAGACAATTACATTATCATCTTTAAAAATATAATTTTCGTACAATTATTTTTTTATATTAAGATTATATTAAATTGTTAATATTCAATTCTCAAGACTATGACCAATACTAAAACATATGTGACGAAAAAAATCTTTTTTTGTTCAATTATACTTCATTCAAACTAAGTCTACAAAAAATTACTTTCGATTAGTAAAGATTTTACTTGTTGGTTGATCGACAATATTTTTGAATAATTCTTTAGTAGAATGCTAATCAATATTTGAGTGACTTTTAAAAATCAAACGATGAACTAACTAACAACTAATTGATATAGTTCTTTGTGAGATTTTTCATTTTTTTTCTGATTTCTCGACGTAGGTATCAACAGTTGTTATTTTTTTGTCGCGATGATCTCAAGAAACAAAATTTAAAAATAAACAATACTCGTTTAAACGTGAGAATAAAATCTCATGATCAACTGAATAGCTTTCGCTTTCTAATCATTAATATAACATTTTGTTTGCCTATAGAAAACATCCAAGAAAGCCCACCCAGTGCTTATACCAATGATAGCTGTGAATATAGTGTGTAAATCAAGCGATCAATGAAAAATATTATTTTCAAATCATATTAATATTTATTAATAGAGTTGTACGTAGTAATGAATTTCGCAATGTCTGCTTCACAGTTTCTTTCTGATTTTCGTCATCCTAATCGATTAGAATGTATTTATATGCTGCTTCAAGAAAAAAATTTTAAAGCATGTTCGCTTGATTTTCAGATGCTTATTTTTTAGCTTGTCAATTATTGTCGCATGTTGGAAGGGATTGCTACTGGATGATTCAATACAGATAATAATTCGGTTGTACCAAGATATAACTTCACAACATAATTCCTTTCAGGACAATCAATACGGAAATAATACCAACATGGATTTTCTCTACTTTAAAGTATCGATAATTTTTTGCAAACTTTAATATCAATTGATTATCTGAGCTATTTTAGAAATGATAGATTTCGTATATCTCTAAGCTAGATGATGATAGTGAAAAAATGTGCGACCATTGACTCATTTTTCATTTCACGAATCTTATAATTGTTTTATAATGAAAATATTCGTTTAATCAAGTTCTTGATTAATTTGAATACAATTAGACGTCAAATTCAATTGTCTTTTAATTTTCACGAGAAACGTCTTCAAAGTGATCAATTCCTTTTGATTCGAGACTAAACACATCATGTATATCTATATGAGTCAACAATACTCTGAAAGGAGCTCGTAACTTTCGCTGATTGCTGGGAAGATGCTACAATTTTACAAGATTTCTTAAATGAATGCCAAAGTCACCAAAAAAAAAAATTAATTTTAGAATTTCGACTCTTTTGATTTTGTTATTTCAAAAAATAAGCAAATAAATAAATCTGAAACTTTCACAGTGTCATATTGTTTGTCACTTGTTGACTGTCTAGCGACAGAGGTCACTATTGCTCGTTTCTCATCGATTACCATTGATATTAATGGTTTGAAAAAGAACCCATTGCATGTCAAGACCGTGGATTTTTGCGTATCAGATGTATTTGCATTCTTTACAATCACTATCGATTCATATAAGAACAAAAAACATAAGATGAATGCTGACTCTACAACGTCCGTGGAAAACAAACCACAAAAGATGACAGTCGATGAATATTCTAAATTGATAGCCAAATGGCAAGAAGCATATTATGTATGGAATACCAGTTATGTTACATATTATAAGTAAATATAATTATATTTTTAAAGTGCAAAAAAAAAATATATATATTCTTTTTCTTATGTTTTTTTCTTCTCAAGTATGATGATGTTCAATTCATTGGTTCAACAAATACCACTTCTGATAAGTGTTAATCCTCCTATACCGCCTCCTCCCATAATACGTCCAGTTCCTGTTGATCCTTTAGAAGATATTCGAAATGGTTAGAATAGTTTTTTCTATGAACAATAAAAATATTTGTTTTTTTCTTTTGTTATTAGCACGTTTAAGAGTTGCATCAGTATGGCGTCGTTTTCTAGCTGAAACAGTTGATTTTATTCTTTTACACGCATTTAAGTAAATATATTTATTTCAATTGTAATTTTATATTATTTTTTGTTTTATTAAAAGAATTCTTATTATATTTGTTCTTTCGAATTATTTACATTTAATTGATTCAAGTCGACTGACACTTAGTTATATGATTTCAAGTTTAATTTACGATGAAACTTTATCATTTCCAGTTGAACTTATTTGTGTTGAACTTGTATATCTACTAGGAAGCATTGCATTTGAGGTTAAATTTTTTTTGTTGATTTGATTTATTTCAATAATAAATTTTTAATTGTGTTTTTCAGAGTTTTTGTCTTACACGTTATGCTGCAACACCAGGCAAACGTCTTTTTCGTTTACGTGTTCTTAAATGTGATCATCTTCAAATACAAGACAATGGAGATGTGACAATTGAACCTGGTACAATAATTGATACTGCAGCGTACGATTTATTTTTTTTTATATAAAATTCAATTTAATTTTTCTTTTGATATATGTGTATTATTTTTATTTTAGAGCATTAACTCGTTCATCATTTAAAACTCTTATGTCAACATTTTTATTTCCAGCTGTTATTGTTGCTTTATTAACATCACAAAATCGTCAAACAAGTTATGATATGGCTGCTAATACTATTGTTGTTGAATTTCAACGTCGAGAGTAAATTCACTTGATGCTTGATCTTTTTTTTTTTAACTGTTACAGTCTAATTTTTCTCTTTGTAAATAATAAAAGAGCCAATGGGGAAGGACTACTAACTTCATTAAAGTTTTTTTATTTTTTTTTTTTATTTAATCAATGTATTTTATTTTTTATTATTTAAGATGACGAATAATACTGGTGCAGTTGATATTAAATTATCAACTTTAGATGAAAATTATGATGAAAGTGACAGTAATGATAGTGAATTGGATGAAGAACAACAACCGGCACCAACTGTTAAAGAACAAATCGATCCGGTAAGCTATTTTGATATATATATCTTCTTTTTTTTTTTTTATTCTAGTTCTTTGACCATAATGCAAGATTAATCAGAGAATCAACTTATAGAAAGGATTTTGAGACTTGAATTATTCTAGAAGAGTTGTTTACATGATTTATTTACATATATTGTAAATCAAAGGGTTCTGCACCATATGCTTCAGCGTCAGGTTTCCAACGTATTGATATGTCTGTGATGAAAAATGTAATTCGTGATATGTTACAGTATGAGTTTGGAAAAGGAGACCAAGGACAAGCATCGTAAATTTAATTCTCTCTCATAATTCACAGAGATATAAAAAATTAGTAAAATTTTAATAACTTAGAAAGAACAGCGTATGGAGATGAGTTATTACAGACCTCTAAAAACCTCGTTGGGATCTGCTTATAGGCTGATTGGCTAGTCACACTTGACTATGTTTTATCATTAATCAAACAAAATCTAGATGACCAAAGCGATTTCAAATCGTTGCATAAAATATTTATGAATTCTCTGAAGAAAAAAACAACGTTCGATAAATAGATACAACGAATGCAATTGAATTTGAATAACATGAATGAATTACTGTCACATATTACTAGCAGAAGAAAGATTTCAGTATAGAATGAGCTCACCCTAATCCATACAAAAAGCTACTTTTAAAATCTGTAAGGATGGGCTGGTGGAAAAAATTCTTCACCTGTCTCCTTCTGATTTCAATGTTTTTTTTTGCCTATAGATAGTACAGTATTCTAATAGAATCTCCCTAAAAATTATTGATATTTGACTACGGTCTCGAATTTTTTTTGCAAAAATCCCAGATTTTCGAAAAACTCATATTTTTAAATTTTAATCTGAAACTTTGTGTACATAGAGAATGCAACTAGGCTAGCCTCTATATAAAAAAAAAAACAATGCATGCTATATAGATTATTCATGGAAAGCAGTCTATATCTTCAAATTTTCATATCTCGAAGAGACTTTGTCTAAAGTTTGTCAATTTTTTTTTAATGAAGCTGATTTAGTTGAATCTTTTATATGCACAAATATTCAAATCAGAATTCGAATATACGAGTTTTTTATTAGAATCCTATATAGTATCTATTGCTAGAAAATCATAGAAATCGGATAGGGGACAACTGAAAAGATTCTCTAGTGAACGTAACTTGGCTCCGTCACTATCATATATCAAAATAGACAACTCTGAACGAAATTTTATTACTTGAAAAATGATAAAATAAGAATTTCTTCGCTCGAGTCTATCACTGAAATCAAAATGATTTTTTCGTATTATTTACCATTTTTTTTTTGTCTATAGAGTCAACTTCAATGGCTTCCATGGATGTGGTATTATACAAAACGTTCAGCAAAAAAGAGTTATGAAGTATGTGATGCAGCAGGAGAAAAATTAGCTTGGTTTTTTGGTATAACAAAACCGAAATATTATGCTGAAATTCAAGAATATGAACGTATGGATGAAGAGGTACATTTCATTATGAATGTCAATAATTTTCAATATATAAATTCTTAAATTAATAGGAACGAGAAGCATGGCGACAAGCATTTCAAGATGTTGAACAAACCAATCATGTTCTTGAATCAATCGTAAGTTACAAAAGAAATAATTAGATTTTTTTTAGATGTTACAAAACTTCATATATTTTTTTTAGAGATAAATAAGTAGGTTGGGTTGCCTAATATTTTCTTAATCTTTACACGTTTTTTTGAAAATCTAACCTTTGCACGATATATATGACATTTATTAAATTATTGATAAATTTTATTTTTAGCTTGCTTTGCTTTTTGTTTTCCTAATAGGTTACTATTCCACCTCAAACATCAAATTTATTTACTGTTTCGCATGAAAATAGTACAAAATAATGACTAATTTTGCAATAATTTGATTGTTTTGTATAATATTTAAAAAGTCTATTTTGTTTTTTTTGATTTATTAATAAAAAATTCTAACACAAAAGAAAAAAAAATGATTCAATTCGATGGTTGGCTGACTGTAGAAAGGTCAAAAAGAAAAATGATCGGAAAATGCTTTAGAAAATTCTGACTACTAAGACACATTGCTTATTAAGTAGGATAATACTAACATTCTAACAGAGATCATAAACAAGTCAAGAGAAATAAGAAATTTTCACGCAATTCCTGGCTGAACATTCGTAGCTATGGAAAATATAATCATCTAATAAGAACTAACAAGGATACTTCTCCAAGTATGAAATTGCTTTTCGAACGAGACGATATTCATTTGATGAATAAAAGAAGGATTTTGTTATATCACAAAGTACTCAAACATAAAAGTACAGTTCTCAACGATCAGTTTAGAAACGATGTCCTTGAAAATTTTTTCATTACATAATAACTTTTAAGATAATCATTTCATAGAAAAAAAAACCAATGCCTCTTAAGGTGGTTCCTTTCCCAAGGTAATAAGCATTTTTCTCAGACTCCGTAATTGATCAATTGATCATTGGTCAATGTGAAATAAGTGTAATATAGAAGCTTTGACTAACCTGATACATGGTACAGTGTTTCTTTTCTTTTTTAAAATAACAAGAGGTAATCTAATCGATATTATAAAAATTCATTGTTCTTGGATAACACTTAAGTAAAACTGACAATTTTTAAATTTTAGCCTGATTTTTTTTTTCATGTTGCTTTAAAAAAAGAGAGCAAACACTATACCACTTGTGTTAGCTTAGTTAAAATCTTCTATGTCAACTCATTTTAAACTGACCAAAAAATCAATTGATCGATTACGGGGTCTGAAAAAAATGCTTATAACTTGGGAAAGGAACACTAACTGATTACTGTTTAACTTCTACATATATTGATAAATTTATCTGTCCTCTTTCAAATACTGAAAACTGCAGATCGCTAAAGAACTTTGTCTATGCAAAGCTTGAAGTCGATTTTCCACATGATCACAATTTTGTTGTTGAAAAATCCAATAATATTGCTCATCAAATGAACGTCATCTCAGTCGAAAAGTCATTGTACACTTGAAAAGATGGGCAAAAAAGATTTTCTTTTTTTTTTTTGTGAATTAATAAATAAATTAACTTGGAATGTTAGCTGACCCGCATCGGCAGGTATATTGATAGGCTTTTAGTTGTATACTAGTTATTTTTTTGACTCTTTTAAATGATCTCTATTAGATATTATTATTCATCACTGTTACTACTAAATAATGANAAAAATGCTTATAACTTGGGAAAGGAACACTAACTGATTACTGTTTGGCTTCTACATATATTGATAAATTTATTCTGTCCTCTTTCAAATACTGAAAACGACAGATCGCTAAAGAACTTTGTCTATGTAAAGCTTAAAGTCGATTTTCCACATGATCATAATTTTTTGTTGAAAAATCCAATAATATTGCTCATCAAATGAACGTCATCTCAGTCGAAAAGTCATTGTACACTTGAAAAGATGGACAAAAAAAAATTTTTTTTTTTTTTTGTGAATTAATAAATAAACTAACTTGGAATGTTAGCTGACCCATATCGGCAGGTATATTGATAGGCTTTTAATTGTATACTAGTTATTTTTTTGACTCTTTTAAATGATCTCTATTAGATATTATTATTCATCACTGTTACTACTAAATAATGAGAAAATCAATAAGAAACTATAAACGTCTAAAGTCAGCATTTACTAGACTTATAACTTTTTTTTTCGATATTTTTTCTTTCGACTTTTCTACATCACACTAATTCGATACAATGATAATACTACGAACAGAGTTCATTAAATGATGATATTGAATTACTTTTATTTGATAGTGTTGAACTTGAACTTATAATTGGTGATTTAATATAAGAAATTGTTTGTTCAATTAAACATAATAATCGTTTACTTGTTGGTGATATTATAAATGATGTTAATTCATCTATAATTAAATATCGTTGAAGACTTTTCGGTAAATTAGAAATAAATTCAATTCGTCGATCAATTGAAGATTTTATATATTGACGTATTTTTCGACGACATAAAGCTAAAAGACGAATAGGTGCTTGTTGACATAATGTTAAAACGGTTTTTATAATTTCTCGACATTGTTTAAATAAATAAATTCGTTGATTTTCAAGTAAATATTTTAACATTTCAACATATGAACTAAATAAATGAATAAAAAAAAAAAAATAAAATAAAATAAAATTTTTTTTTCTGTTTATTATGTATTAGACATAATTTTGTGCATGGTAAGTATCCACGTCTTAAGACTATTCTCAACATAGTACCCAACTAAGATCCTCTAGCATACAGACAAAAAGTATGCTGCTGACCGCTGACGAGATATGTGAGTTGCTTAAATTCACAAGGAAACGTTTGTAAATGTCAAATTGCTTTTAAGTTCGTACTATATGCATCATGTAATTTCTAATGAGTTACCAATGTCTTGAAAAGAGTTCTAACTGATATTGCGATACTTTATTTTCTAACAGAATGTTGTAGTTCCCCACATGAATACCAGGTAAGAGGAGTTTCAAATTTCGATTCGAAACTTTAGATAGAGACAAATCTTAATAAGAATAGTTTATTGTTCAGATTTTAGAGTTTTTGATTGCATATATTCTGAAATAACACCATCAAAACTTACCGTTATATATGAATAGCATGAGAGTCTTCTCTTAGCATAGATGCAATAAAATAGATCTGAAACTTTTACTAACAGCTATTGTCATTAAAGTCTGTCTCTATGGAAAATTTCAAGTCAACATTCGATACTCAGTTTTCCTCATGTTCATGAGACATACTATACTATATCTTGACTATAATAAGTTATTAATCCAAACTGTTTTCAAGTTATTCATAGTTCATTAGAACCTACATGATGCACAGACGCAAAAGCAGTTTGACATTTAGAAATGGTTCGCACGTCAATACACTGAATGCATAATTCATTTCTATCTTTCGCTGAAATTCTAACATGATGTTGCGATTCATTTTTATGTACAAAAGAAGAAATAAATTATCAAAAATACTTATTCATGACAAAAAAAAATGTGTGAATATAATCCTGCATGATTACATTGTTTTGTTTGAGGATGACTTTTCTTTTTAAAACAACGAAACATGACATTATTATTTTAATACATTAAATAAATGATATCTACTAATTCATTAAGAGAAAAAAATTTGATTACCTATTACCACCCATTTCAATAAATGCACAATAAAATAATAAAAAAAATCGATTTATTGTTTCTTTATCTTTAATAATTCGTTGTAAATAAAAAATAATTAATTGTTTATAATTTTCAATAAACATTCGTTGAATAAAATAAATAATATGTTCAATATTATGATTAAATACAAATATATTTTGTGCTAGAAGAAGATTACTATATGTTATATTACATGGCCAATATGTTTCTTCAAATGTTTTCCATGCTAAATTTTCTAAATCAAAATTTTTTTTAATTCGACAATAAAAAATAAAATCAAATAATGGAAATAAATATGGAATATTTGGTGTATAACCAATAATAGCATATTTAAGTTCAATTTCATTTAATTGAAATTGATCAAGTAATATTTCAACTATATTTAAACGTTCATGATAAATATTTTCTTCATTTGGATTTGAATATGACAAACAACCAAGTGCATAACGTAATGGTGAATAACCAAGAAAATTTTCATATTTATAATTTGCATTATGATTTAATAAAATTCTAACTATTGATGGTACACCACGATAAATAGCATAGAATAGTGGTGTTAAACCTGACATATCAACATGATTTATATCAGCACCTTTATTAATTAATAAATGAATAAGATCTTCTTCAGTTGTTTCGAATAATAATGTTCGATATTCAATTGCATAAATAAATGGTGTTTTACCAAATCCTATTTAAAAATAAAAAATAAAAATTTTACATTTTATAATAGAAACAAATTTCTCTTTTTCATACGATCAGTAAGATTTAAATTTGCATTATAATTACATAATATATCAATAAAAACTTCATCAGCCCAACCACATGCTCGATGAAAATCTGATGCTAATATTGAACCTGTACGTCGATTTATATCAACATTTAATTCAAGTAATGCAAATACAGTATCTAAATGACCACCAATATAAGCAAGCCATAATGGTGTATTTCCAAATTCATCTGAATCATTAAGATCAGCACCTTCACGATACATTTGTTCAATATCATTTGTACGACCTTCAGCACATGCATCATGTACATTATGTGACATAAATGTCCATGGTAATATGTCCATATCTGTTTCGTAGATAATTTTCATTTTTTTTTTTAAATAAGACAATCGATTTATTATATCGTTATCGAGACAAAAAAAAAAGAAATTAACATAAAAATAAAGTAATGAACATAATAAATGTTGATATGAGAGAAAAGTGAATTAAGAAGGATGTCGGCGACAAGAGTTAATGATGGAATTGGGACGAAGCTTTTTTCTTTGTTTATTCACGTGTTTAACTCACTCCTTCCAGGGGAAAAATTGGAAGATAGAAATATCTTCATCTACCGCCTTGTTTTATTTTTTTATATTTTGTAACTATGATAATTGAAAATTAAAAAACAAATAAATACAAAAAAAAATATATATCAATGTGTTTTTATCATTCAAGCGACTTTGACTTTGTTGAATAAATATGATCATATGAAGCAACACTAAATACATCTAAATTCAATATATTTGAAATTACAACTTACTACATGATGTTAAAATTGAATAATATGAATGAAGCTTGACATTTTCATATGGACCATTGACTTGAAATAAATTTCGACATAACAACAAGATTGAAAAACTCTAGTATTGTTTATATTAGATCAAATCTTTCTTTTTTTTTGGTGTTTTTATCATGTTTGGACAGAGCTCTGCGAATATTGTTGTTGATATAGTCGAACAATATTTTTCTAGCGAAATTTAGTTGGAAAAAAAAAATCAGAAAAGCTTATTAAAATTGAACTGCTCAAAAAGCATCAACTTTTTGTCTATTATTCCATTGTGGAAAATGTTTGGTTTTGTCGCTCGGATAGTAAAATTTCATAAATACGGGTTCATATTTAGAATCAGCAGAAAAGTCAGCACTGAACAGTATACTCAATACTTGAAACGAGCTTTTGTCAAATTTTAACCTTAGAGAAAACCACTGGTGGGATTATTTGAAAATAACAGAGAAGAGGGTATAAGAATTAAAATGTGAGGAAAAGTTATTTCAAGTATTGAATATATTATTCGATGCATATTTTTCTACTGTTTCTAATATAATGTTCTTTTTATTGGAAACTAAAGTTCTGATGGTCAAAAAGTCTGAATATGAGCATAGCTTTTTGCCATCATATCGAAAAATTCGTATTGTATAAGAAGAAGTTCAAAACAAAAGAACAAGTCAACAGTCTCTATCAATTATTTTAAATATGTCGTATTAATACAATTCGAGACGTAAATGGATTTGTTGTAAATAAAACTGAAGGTAGAATATGATATGTTCAATTATCTTTTTCAAGTAAAAGCAATATTGTAACGAGGAAAATGCACTGAGTAAAACGTCATTAGGTAGGTCCTAATGAGAGTTGATAAAGTTTAAAAGAATTTGTTCTCATCACTTTTTTCTTTTGAGTTATAGTCATTTCAATGAGTTCCTAAATAGAATTCTATGATAAGCCTCAAATCATTTTTCAAAACCGAATTTTTCCGTTCAAACTTTGTACAATCTTCTCCTTTTAGGTATCAATACTTAGAACAGTCGAAAACTGTGCGAGTGGTACTTTAGTTCCGTATAAAAAGCTTAAAGAAACTTTCTCTCTATATAGTCTGATAGAGAAAAGAATGTTCTATTTTTCTATGCTATTTGATCATACTTCAACTAATGTCATAGTAATAAAATTTCGATACGATCTGTTTTGTAATCATATGTGCCGGCTGTATTAATACTCGTATTAAAGAAATACGAGTGAGTATTTTTTGAATAACTCTTGATAAAAACAAGATAGAGAACTGTGATTTTCACCGTTGGAAAGGGAAAATAAAGACCCATCGAACCGTATACGCCAGATTTTCCTAATCTGTTTTTTTTGGTTAGATTTTCAATTGATCTTTTTAAGAACGAACCTATCTGATAAGTTGTTTACAGTAAATTTTCAATGATCAAGTATAAATTCAAATCACTAAGCGAAGTTCTACAAAGTGCGAAAGGCTAAGATAAATAATATGTATTCTAGTCGAGCCTCTAACACAATTTTCTAGTAAAATCTGTGGAGAAAGCTCACTTTTATCCTTTTTTCATAAAAAAACATTTTCCCGACAGTTAAAAAATTGAATAAAAATACTTCAGAAATCAATATTAGGAAATCTGTAATACACGATTCGATGCATCTTCATCTTCTCTTTCCAACGGTGAAAATCGCAGTTCTCTATCTAGTTTCTACCAAAAAGTTATTCAAAAAAATACTCACTAGTATTCATGGAACGGTGTGATACATGCGAACAAGACTTATCTTATCGAAATTTTATTATTATGATATCAGTTGAAGTATGATCAAATAGCATAGAAAAATGAAACATTCTTTTGTCTATCAGACTATATTGAGAGAAAGTTTCTTTAAACTTTTTCTACGGAACTAAAATACCATTCTCATTACTTTTCGACTGTCTTAAGTATTTTGATAATTCTGTTATACAAAAATCCAATCTTGGCTCTTTCATTTATATCTCATGATTGGTGATACTAGAAAACGTCATGTAAATTAATCTTTTTGAGGACTTAAATTACAAAAAAAATTTAAACTGGAAACTTTATCATTAACGATGAACTAAATGAATATAATTCAAAAAGACGAACTCTTGTATATAAATCTTTTTAAAAATTTTGTCTTGTCTCAATCATATCAATCCCTAATGAGTTAAAATTTATGTCAACAATGATTTATTACTTCACAAGGTTCCCTGATGAGTATATCCTACAAAATTTTGATTTTTATCTCTTATTTAAAAATGAAATTATTTCAACTGAATGAAGACAATAAGAATCATTGATAGTTATTTTATTTCCGCTCTATTTCAACCTGCATGATACCGACACACTTATCCCTACTAGAATAGTTATGTCCACTTCAACTGTCTTTTTCTCTTTAGAAGAATCAATCAACTTCTCCAAAAAAAAAAAGAAAATGACGCCAGTACGTATATCATCCCGTAGATATTTTCCGCTTGATTTATTATGGATATCCAACTGTGTTTAGATTATATTCATTATAGTAAATCATAGAAAATTACTCAGATACAAAATTCTTTTTTTTTTTTATTTTCAATTTATACAAGCCATATTTTAACATTTTTCATAGTCATTCGTTTACTTTCATCTTTTGTATATCGAATAAATGATTGTGAATTTGTTGTAAATTGTAATCGACGTTGTGATATAACAATTGGTAATTTTCGTTTAATTGATGATGTTATAGGTTGACGACGAATTTGTTTTGGTGTACTACAACAAACAGGTGAAGTTAATAATGGTCGTTGATATTTCATAAATGAATCTGAAAGAAAGAAAAAAAAAATTTTCGATATTTTGATTTTATAATTCAATGATAAATTTACGTGGAGAATCGCTATTGAATGAATGTGATTGTTCGATCTCATATGGTGTTGATGTAGCAAGTGGTCGAAATGATGTATTATTTCGATGTTTTAAACGGCTAGTTGTATTTAAATGTTCAAATACAAAGAATGTTGGTTCTTGTGGTGTAGAAAAAATTTTTGATTGCTGTGAATAACGTCGTTTTGTTTTTCCCATAGTTAAATTCTACAAGTTAAAGAAAAAAATTATTGTTCAACCTAATCTTTTACAACAATAAAATAAGAATTATGAAATAATAGATGATGTCATTCACGCGTGTATTTCACACATCCGATAATGAATGACGTAAGATTGAAAATAGATGTTTTTATTTATTTTTTTGTATCGTATTTTAAATTGTCTTAATCCATTAACCAATTATAAGACATCGACATGACCAAAATATTAAAAACAAAAATACGAGTATTCCAAAATCGATCAGAAGATTTTTTTTTTTACTAAAGTTCCATCGATTAGAAGAGAATGCGAGATTGTCTTTTTCTTTTAGATTGAAAAAAAAAATTTTCATACAAGATTTTCAATGTATTTCGAATCGATCTTGTGTTTTGTTCATAGAATCTAAATAGAATGAAAAATGTTCGATACAAACTTGTGGTGAAGTTTTTCGAATAGTACGTTGTTGTTGATTAGTTGCACTTGGTTTCTTATCCATAGAGATGAAAAGTGTTGCAAATGATTATAGATAAACAAAATAGATATAATGGTCACAGATAATATTTTTTTTTTTCTTTCTTTTCGTCATATACAATTGGTGAAAAAAATATTCTAATGACGAATCATTCATCAATTAAGAGAGAGAAAGAGCAAAAAAAAAAAGAATAGAAATGATTAACTTTGATCATTAATTGTCTGAACAGAGAAATCAGTTATAGATGTTTTTTCTGTAGATAAGAACCCATTGGATTTATTCCGGATTCGAAAATTTTGGACTCGATGGGCTCTGTCTTATATTCAAAAGAATTTTCTTCAAAGTTTTGAATACATAAAAAGTTTAAGAAAATAAACTAGTAGATTTGATATTGAATATTTCGTTAAGTTGATCTTCTGTCATAGAAGAATATACAAAGATATTCCAAACGAGTAAAAAAAAAGACAGTTTTCTGCTTTTTTTTTATCTTCTCATTTTCCAACTATAGACTTCGATTTTATTTTATTTACGTGTTCAAGATAATGTTAATCGATTGATTTTCTAATTTAATCAAAAAGATGAAAAAAGATATTATGATTGACTGTTGTTATGTTTTTATATAATGCATTTTTAGATGATCAATTAGTTGAAAATGGAAAAAATTAGAATGTATATGACGATTTGCTTTTTATCATCAATATATATGTTTGAAAGATAAAAAGGACATCGATATGTTTTTTTTTTTTTTGAATATTGTTTAAAATTGAAAAACAAAAACAATATGTTCGTTCTTTGATGCAATAAATGGATTAGAACTAATGATTAAATTTAAGATTAACTAAAAAAAATGGAAAAGATTTTTTAATTCGTCTCTTGAATTATTTGTTTACTTTTTGTATCATATAAAAAATTCAGTATTCTGAAAGTATTTTGTATATCTTAAATTGTTGTGACTTTTTAAAAATTAGTAATTTAAAAACAAACATGGGAATATTTTTCGACGAGGTCGTACTCTTTTAATATTTTGAGCTTAAAATACAAATGATTCGCCCGAAATTGATGCAGTAATTCCTAACGATTTTGAGGATATCTTGTCTTGTTCATGTCCTAAAACCAATCTGTTTCAATCTCTAAATATTAGTAATTTATTCGATAAAATAAATGATAATGAGATTGGTCGAAATTATGTAAATATTTATTTTCAATAGAGTAAACCAAGAGAATAGAACATTATTTTCAATTTCTGATGTTGACCTAAATTATATAAACATTTTCTTTAGGTATGAAAGATAACGTAATAGTTTATGAAATTGAATTGGATAATACGACTGTTTCACTCGCAAGATTAGCTTTCGTAAGATTGAAGAAGTTGACGATTATGATGAGAATGAGAATGAGGATGATGATTATATTTAATATTACTTTTGTTCTAACTAAGATCGTAAGAAAAAAGTATCAAGACAGAATATGTTTTAGGAGTAATAGCCATGAGTTTGTTGGAAAATAGCAATTTCATTTTCTTTAAAGACAGTCCATAAGCTAATTAGCGTAGTTAAAAAGCCTGCATGAAACTAAATAAAGTGAGGATTGTATCTAAAATGAACAAATATTCTTTCGGCAGTTGCTGAAAGCCGACGGTTAAATTAAATTATCATCATGTTTAAGTAGATACACATTTCAATTCGAATTATAGCGTGTCATGCTATTCACTTTATCGAATAGTTTTATTGGTCAGAGCAAGAAAAAAATTAAAAGCAAATCTCTATTCGTTGATCATTAGGTGAACGAAAGAAAAGCAAATAAATCTATGAATAGAAATAGATATGTAGTTATTTATTTTTCTCAATCTTTATATCAGTCTTGATCACGGACGTATTAATCATACATTGTAAAATCACATAAGCAATAAGAATAATTATTGCAAAGATTATTTTACCAAATAATGTACTGTTGAAAATAAAATAAAATAACCAAATAAGAGATGGAATACCAATTGTTATCAACCAAAAGAATTGAATAAAAAAATCAGAATAGTTCGGAATAATAGATACTTGAGATACACCAAGACCATCAAAGGTATCATGTTGAATAAAATGTTCATAGATACGATCCTGAACAAAAACAAAGGAAATGAGATATTAAAAACTTGCAAAGATGAATAATCTAAAAGGTTTTCTATGCGAATTCTAAATATATTATTAGTTTTAAATAAAATCATATTTTTTCTGATTGAAATCTATTAAATATTAGTCAAATATTTAAGAAATTTCTTCTAGCTTTCAGGACGAATGAAAACATGCCGTTTTTTTTTCGTCTCTCGAGATAGTGAGCAGAAGTAGTTAGAAAACTAAATGATTCTGATATTTATTTCAAACAACTATTATGTTATTATTCAGCAACACTTCGATTGTTTAAACTGAAACTTTTACCAAAGATGTACTACAGGATAAGTAGTTGTATTTGTAGTACAAAAATGAATGTCACTAGTTTGCGCTAAATTATGTCTAGACTGTTTGAATATAGCTTTATTTTATTATCAAACAACCTGTTGCGAAATTCTACATCCAATAAATTATAAATCAAGCAAAATTAAAGACGGTTCAAAAATGACTCTCATACGACCCTATCTTTAAATAAAATAAATCCTAGAAAACGAAATCATCTCGAAATCTGTCTACTACACAAAAAAAAATGTTATATGATAAATATGATTACTTTTTCTTGATATAATTTATAAATCCATTCTGCACATATTTCATCATCTTGATATGGAATTTCTGATATAGGAATTCGTCTAAAAAAATGAACTGGATATTTACAATAGGTTTTCTCGTTGTAGATTTACTTTAAATACATATGAGCTTTACATGAATATCCATTTAATAAGGTACGAAGTTTAGGTGAAGCACTATCCTTTGAAAAGCCAAGCATAAAATTATAAACAGCTGGTACTAAATATAAAAATAAAAAAAAAAACAAACAAAAAATTTCCAAATAATTTACTTTTTCCTTGTGCTCCTTGCATAATCATTGTTAAACCTTTTGTTCGTGGTAATATATGATATTTTAATTCTGGTAAATTTTTCTTTCGTGCATATTTCATACTTTCTAATCGTTTTGTTTCTGTATATCTCGTACCTTCACAAGTCATAACAATCTATGAAAAAACATTAAATTTTCTCAAAAATAAATCTAATTCAAATAGATATTACATACATTAAAATAATAATTATTTGGATAACTATTGACACATTGTTGAATATCATGTTCTAATATTTTCTTATCATTTTCCCAAATACGACGTAAAAAAATTGATTCAGTAAAAAACCATGACCAACCAAGAACTGGTATTAAACTAAGTGAATGTTTTCCAACGATTTTTGTACCCTATTGAAAATAGAAGATAATTTTAAAATAACCTGAATACAAACTAAAATTTACTCCTAATAAATGAAGTCTCTGAGTAAATACTAATGCAACAAGCCAATCAATTTCATACCGATGATTAGGAAGACAAATCGCATATTCTTTTCGAAAATGTTCAATATCTTTTGAATCAACATAAATTTTTAAATCTGAATTTGACCACCATGTATAAAGAAAAGTCAATTCTACAAGCAAGAATAATTTTTTATTATGAGTTCAAAAATCAATTTTTATAATACTTACGACTCCATATTAATGTTGCTAAATAATAATTTAATTGACGATATAATTTTTTATTAAATGGTCGAATGAAGATCCATGTAAGAAGTTGAACAAAATTTACAAATAATCCGCTGATAACAAAACAATAGCCAATAAATATTTGAATCGGTAATAATGATTGTATAGTTATGAGCAGACTTCGATCGATCTTCATATAAACGACAGCCAATATAGGTATACAGATATAATTAGAAATCGAAAAAATAAATGAAGAAGAAATAATTTATGGTTCAGTGATCACATAGGATAGATGATTGCATCACATTTACTTTTGCACATCGAACGAAAAGAAAAATGATTAATATTGTCAGTGGCAGCGCGACCGGGGATGGGGTGGGGTTGGGAGAGGGTACCCCCTCCTGCTTTGGAAAAATATGAACTCAATTTTCTCCGATTTTGACAAAAAATGATATCAAATTTTCTATCGCTTCGAACACAATATATTGGTAACATTCTTCCATTTTGAAGAAAATATGTGTCAACTTTCTTTAATTCAATAGAAAATATGTCTGAAAATTTCTCTATTCTAAGAGAAAATGTATCCGAATTTCTGCTCAATTTGTTAAAAAATATGTCTCAAATTTTGTTCGATATTGAAAATGTTTTATTATAGTTTTCTCATTGCTGTTTCGTTTCGAGTCTACAATATAAACTGAAACATTCCATGTTTAATTTGCCTTTAAAAATTTAAAATTTTCCAAGAGTTAAAAGCAGATCACTAATAATATTTGTATATGTATATGACAATTTAAAGTAATTTTCCTACTTAGTTACTTAGTCAATATTAAATTACTCTTGTCCTTTTTTTGTGGTGTATGTCGCATTATGTACGATCGAAAATAGAGACGAGCATTTATTTGTGCAAATATTATCAAATAATTATATTGCTCGCTCTTTCTTGATAGATGGCGCATAGACTGATTTCTTCATTTTATTTCGTTGTGTTATTGAGAACTTTTTACCACTTATCAATAATTTTCTCGGTGTCCAAACGAAGTCAAAGTTTTTATATCTATCTAGTAAATTTTTATTTTAGATTTATCAACAGAATGTCCACTACTACTTTAGGAAAGTGTCCATTATGTTTAAAAGTTCTTGTAAAAAATTTTAAACGTCATTGTGAACATTGTCACGATAGTGTAAATACAAAAGAAAAATATGAAAAATTATTATTAAAAATGAAACAAACAATTAACAGTGAACATCAACATACACCAACATCAAGTAGTATAATTGAAGTAATATAATAATCAGTTACATATTATATTTTTAGAATCCACATCATCAAATGAATCATCAACAATGATCTCGAATAAAACATCAGCGACAATATCAAATGAAACAAATATTGAACCACCAGCTGTTGATGGATATGTATCATCACCTGATGTTACATTAATACCTGATGATAATAAATCTTTAGATAATGTTCAATTTCCACATTTTGTTGAAATAAAAAGTCATATTTATGGTGATATTAAATACATTTTAAAACAAACTAAATTTGTATCGAAACTTGTTGAATTAGCATTTGATGAAACAGTTAGTATAAAAAATTTTTTAGTTAAAACAACATCAACATTTAATAAAATAAAAGAATCTATAAATGATTTATTAATATTATGTAACAAAATACTTGAAAACATCCCATCTACACCAACAACTGTTGATAAAATACAATCAACTGAAAAACCTATTTCTCGTGATCCATCTAGATCGTTGGTGGCTGAATTTTTTCTAACTTTTTTCCTCTGTTGTCATCATGGACGACTGAAAATTTTTAACTTTTGTTTCTTCTTCGGCGGTAGCCCAAAATTTTCTTCACATTGAGAAATTTTGAAATGAAAAAGAAAGAAAACAATGTTAGAGAACTTATTGACAATAAACTAAACAAGAACATCTCCAAAAACTAATTTAGAACGTTGGAAATTTTTAAAAACCAAATATCTATTTTTGTGTTACAGCGGTAGTAATTCATGTGGAAACCTCTTCAGACGTCTCTTCTCCCTATTTCGATGTTTTTTTTGCCTATAAATACTATATAGTATTCTAATAAGAACTATAAAAAGATTTGGATTCCTATTAAGATTTAAATAAGCTATTGAATTTTGATCTGAAGCTTTGCATATCTAGATAACTCAACTAGACTAATTAGTTTACATTCTCTATTTGACAACACGAGGGTTTCGAAAACCTGAATTGGAATCCATAGCATTTTAGGATTTTTATTAGAATTCTATGCAGTATTCATATGCAAAAATATAGTTGAAATCGGAAGGATGCATCTAAAGATGTCCTCTCTTGAGTCAGAAACATACGTGGATAGATACGTGTTTCTTTTTTCTTCTGTCGAGAGAATGTTTCATACTTCGCTTTCTCGTGTTCAATTATCAGTTAGCTTGAATTAAAAGATATCTCTTTTATTTGAGTTTTTTTTAATCAACGGCAAGCCTACCGTTCAGAATAAAAAATATACCTTTTTCTTTTTAAACAGATTTTTTGACCGATGGTGCTAGATTATTAATATTAGTGTTCTAGTACAAAATTTTTGTTTTGCATCGCATTCAGAGAAATTATGCAACGTTTTTATGAATCACTTTAATGACATCTTTAACTAAATCTTATGATTTGCATGACTTATGAGATAAATATTTTTCTCTTATGTCAGACAACTAATAAAGCCATGCCAGAAAAACTGCACAATCATATTTATCTATTATAAGTGACAAGAATGAAAGTTCATGAAAAACATAATTATCCTTGTAATTTTTTGGAATCGAAAATTATGATTGTCTGGAGAGAATAACAATTTAGTAAGAATTTTGAGTAGATATGAGTGTAGATGAAGGTGAAGACAGGAAACACGCTCACGTCCACAATTCACATCATTCTCCCGTTTCTTTCTAAAATTATTTGTGCTGAATAGGTTTTCTTTCTAAGAAGGCTTCTGTCGGATGTTGCAACACAGTAACAAATTAATCATTATGTTATTTTGATAAACAAAAAGATATTGATACATAAAATGTAAAACAAGGTAATAAATCGTTAACTCTTTCGACTGGAAAAAGTGAAAGTTCGAATGAAGAGGATGAAAATCTTAATATTGATCATTAATTACTTATTGGTATAATTGAACTTGATTCAGCTATTGTTGGTCAAAAAGTGATATTGAACAATAATGATAAACAATATTCTTCCTCTTCAGAGATTTAAATCTTCTATTCTTCTTTTTATAGTATGTATTTATGTTGTCTGATAAAACTTTGTCTCTAAATTATAACTATATGGTTTTGCTCTATTATTCTGATTTACTAAAATAAAAATAAAGTCGTTCGATAATTATAAAAAGTTTGTAAAAGAGATATTTTATGAAAATTCAAACGGAAAAATAGTTTAATAAAGTGATGCAACTAAAGATTTTCAAACTGGCGTGAATATGGTCAACTTTGAGCAAAGTTTAAAAACTCTCATTTAAACTTTCATCGTCTTTAAGATTGTGTTTAATCGATCAAAGTATAGACGCTTTGGACGATATGCGAGTCGTTAAGTACGGTTATTTTGGAATTATCAGCAGTAAAGACGTACCGGACCGGAGTTTCGTGTGAATATGGGTGGGTGTGCATGTATTGGTGTGGATGTGGGTATCGCTGACGAGAGTGCCACAGTCACGCCCACATTCGCACCCATACTCATATCCCACACCCATACCCAAAATTGATAAACGATTAAAAAAGTCACTTCTGTAATAATCTTTGATAATCAAATGAAAATCTTTGAATCGAATTTCTATCGGTTGAGATTTAAATTGATTGAACAGATTAAAATTGTTTGTCGATGAAGACCCCATTACAATTGAGATCATCAACAATAATCGGTGCAGCAGATATATTTTTCAGTCGATTCATAAATTTTAATCGACTTTAATTGGATTTTCTGGAAAAAGTTGAAGACTTGTTCGAAAAATCAGACTTTTACTTCCGTAATCACAAATAATCATGATTTTCTTAAGAATATTTTCACTGTGTGTTCTGCACTAATCTATCCTACTCGACAGTGCTTTACACGCCGAACACGAACATAATCTTAGTTTCCATTTTCGAGTTGAATCAGGGACGAAAGTAGGTTAACATATGGTCCATTTCTACGAAACAGTGTTCAGGATAATTTCTGTGGAATTAAAATGCGAAAAACGACAGACTCGCTCCATTCGTGATGCAGAGCCTCAACTACACCAATCATTATAATACTCGGCAGCTTTATCAATTCTCTGCCTGTCCGCGATGGTGTGGGCCGTTAGAAAATCCTACTATTTTGTCTGCTTGTCACGGTCTACGGGGCTGCCCTGCTTTTTTTCGTTATATGTTTCAACACTCATTACCAACTGTGTTCCACAAAATCAAACTGAATTATTTGAAATTTTAATGCAGGCTACTCTGCAAACAAACCTGATGAAATCTAACGTTGATGTTGATAAAAGAGCCGGGTGAGACTGCAATTTGTGAGCACGAACATGAGAGTGAATTGGTTTAGATTGCTTCCAAACGTTCGTACTCGGCCAGAACTGGATTTTCCACTTTCACGGTAATTGTCTGGCGACTAAGCACAGTGTAGTTAACGAGTGTCAACATGCAGAAAACGAGCAAAATCAAATAAATTCATGTAGAGACTATTTGATCACGACGAACTTCAGGTGGATCGTCAAAGGCTGCCGTATATACGTTGAAATCACGAAAAGTTTTCAATTAGTAGATTTTTCCAAGCAAGTGCTGCGCTGATGATGATGGACATTATTTCATGCGATTATAGTTAGTCCAGTGAGTGGATTATTATATTTCTATAGAATACCCAACAGCGATAAATGAAACAGAGGAGTGGTCTTTCTGTCAAACATCGCATCAATGGGATCATTAAAGTTTGTAGTGTGAGTATGCATCGTAAATAATTCCTAGAATACTAAATCTTTAAAAGCTTTATAAAAGTGCAACATGTAAAATACCCTTTTTCGACATTTACGAAAAGTTCGCAAACTCTTTCATAAACCATTCAGAAAGTGTATATGAAAAGGTTTATAACATTCATAAATCCTCAAAGAGTTTGTTATATGTTACACTTTTATAAACTCTTCGTACCGATACATGAACTTCATAACCACTTCCAAATAATCTTAAAGTCAATTATCAAATGAATACTTGAGACTGTTCATGAGCATTATGATTCGTACTAAGAGTTTATGAAAGGGTATATGAAGCCCCATATAGGAACATTCAAGAAGATCACTAATCTAAAGGAAGCCATTATTTTATGAACTATACAAAGTTTACGACAGAGTTCTCGAAACGATCCTTAAATTACCAAAACGGTTGAAAATCCCATAGCACTAAACCATTGCTCGAACGTAGTAAGACATAAGAGTGCGTGGAAAAACACAACGAAACTGAACCGTTTCATTCTACTCATCTCACAACATATTACAAAAAATATAAAAACATCTGACTGATGAGAAGAAAAGATAAAAGTAAATGATTTTCTGTCTTTTCGGTCATAAAACACTCCACGACTATCAGCAGAAATGAATCAAGAAGAAGAAAATTAGAGTAAAATAAGTTGATCGGCTTTTTTCCAAAGATGATGGCAACCCAAGGGGGAAACAGCTGATTATTGATTAGGTTTGATTAAGAGTGATTAGAAGTGATTAGGAATGATTAGGAGTGATTACTAATCAAGCCTAATCAAGCCTAATCAAATCTATAGGCTTGATTAGGCTTGATTATTAATCACTCCTAATCACCCCTAATCACTTCTAATCACTTCTAATCACTCTTAATCAAACCTAATCAATAATCAGCTGTTTCCCCCTTGTGGCAACCTCACAATAAGTGAACCAAGAAAAATAAATGTAAAGTGAATTCTATGAACATATTTCTACCCATAAAAAGCTAATTGGCCATCTAAAAAGCGCGTGATGGAAATAAACGTAAACAGACTTATTCAATTTTGCTGAATACATACTTGTCAACTGTGAACAGAACTAAATACAGAATAAAGAAGCAAACAAAAGCAAGTTATTCAATGTATGTCATAAGGTTGTACACAACTATAAAGATAAGAAAATGATGACAGAAAAATAAAACTACACTGATTTATCTGATTTTTCTCATAATATGATAGACAATTATCGGGATAAATAAATGGAGACAAAAAAACTGAAGTTAATTTTCTGATATCCACTTCTATTAAAAAGAAACCCGCGACAACTCCCAGGATAGCTAAATGAAGAAAGCAAAAATTAAACTAGCCGACGATATAGATTTTTCTTAAAAAAATGCTCGACAGTTGTCGCAATAACTAAATGGAGACAAGAAGAGTAAAGTTACTTAGAGCATACCAAAAGTAGTGGTGCTATTATATTATTTTCGTATAGGAAGCTTCAAGAAATTTTCTTTTTTATGTAGTGATAAAGAAAACGATGCTCTATTTTTCTGTGCTATTTAATCATAATTCAACTAATATCATAATAATAAAATTTCGATTAGACTTGCTTTTCTCTCAAATGTGACGGTAATACTAATGTCGGTTTAGTGGATATTTTTTGAATAACCTTTCATAGAAATAAGATAGAGAGCTGCGATTGTCATCTTTCGAAAGAGAAGATAAATATGCGTCAAACTATATATTACATTTATTTCAAGCATGTTGTCTGAAATTTGTTTAATCAACCTTCTAAGTGCAGACAAATGGTTTCTTATAAAAAAAATCGTAAAAAATTGCTTTTTACAGAAATTGTCAGAAAAAAAGATAAATAATAAAGAAATATATACAGTATACCTATAACTCTCGAATGATCAATTCTAAACATCTGAATCTTGTAAAGATTTTTTAAATCTTCCATTAACGGTTTGAACACACACGTAACAATTGCGAATTCACTATAAACACCTCACGGGATAGATTTGCTTTCAAAAGAAGTCTACTGAAAAACCTAAATAATTCATGTCAAATAATCTATAATATACGATTTGATGAATCGTCATCTCTTTTTTCGAACGATAAAAATCGCAGCTCACTAACTATTTCCGTTCTTGAGTTATTGCAAAAATATCCACGTTCGTTATTTATTTAAACAGGCTGAAGTTTTACACAAAAACAGTTCTTATCGAAATTCTATTCTTTGGATATTAATTGAAGTATGATCAAATAGCATAGAAACATAGAGCATCGTTTTCTCTATCATTACATAAAAAAGAAAATTTCTTCAAGCTTCCTATACGAAAATAAGATAATGGCACCACTACTTTTTATATGTCCTAAGTCATTTGCTGATTGCATTTCTATGATAAAATACACGACAACTGCCACAATAACTAAATGAAGACAAGAAGAGTAAAGTTAATTTGTTAATGCTATTTCTCTCATAAAGTGCACGCCAGCAATCGAGACAACTAAATGAAGAGAAAATTAAACTGAACTAGTCTATTCCATATTTCCTATAAGATGATCGATTTTTATCGGAATACTAAAGGAAGATAAGAACATTAAAGTTGATTTTCTGATTCCACTTCTACTATAAGATACGAGACACCAATAGGGACTCATGAATGAAAAATGAGGAATTAAACTAAACTAGCCTATTTGATGTTTCTTATAAGATTCTCTATAGCTGCCGAAATAACTCATTGAAGACTAGAAAAATTAAGTCGTGGGTGTGGGTGTTATGTTCTCTCTATACAAACACACACACCCTTCTTATTTCTTTCAATAAATAGGAAGCTCATAGTTGATGACAATCGCATACTCATTTCTCGTGGCAATGCTGTATCCTTCTCTGGTAACATCGACGTACTCGTCGATGTTAAATAATGATAGTCAAAGGTGTCGTCGTACTGATGATATTTTTGCTACTTACTACTATTATGAAATATTTCAAGTAAATGTGTTCATGGATGACACCTATAGTTTCATGAGCTAAAGCTTATTCAATACATGTGGCTATATCTATACGTACAGCTTTGATCCATCCAAAACGAAATGGAATTTAATTTCAGATAATGATAATAATGGTGATAATGAGCAGTTTAAACTCACAGTTTCTCTTCGACTTCGGATAACATATCTTTTAATTGTCACAACCAGATATAGTGAGTCGGTGAAAGAATTCTCCATCGTCGCTTCTGGTCCAGCATCAGTTAATTTCACCCGTAGAATTATTCTCTGGCAAGGTAAGACTTTCAAGTGTTCCATTACACATGCGTATCTAGTGATGGGAGCGAACAGAGATCTGCAGAAGGTTACACCCTGTTCAGTGATTTCTGCACACAAGAGAAGGTCATTTAAACACTAATATAATATGCCAATAAGTTTCTCATACAGTCGATCGACACGGCAAAATTATTTGAAAACTGACAATTTTCAATGAAGAAACTCAAGTAATCCAAACGCTGATTTTGTATGATTTTGAAAAAAAATTCAGTCTGAATAATTCTGTATTGTTCAGAATGGAATCAAATTAATTTAAAATGATATCTACGCAGTCAATTTTTTTCTTAAAGATATTTTCTTTTAAGTGTCCGAAAAAAATGACTTTTGTCACGATATACTAAAAACTTATACAGTTTTAAATTCTGAAAGAGAACACTTCTAGGTGGTATTCTAAACTCTACAGCGGATTTTTCTGAGATACTGAGGAACTTGTGAGTCCTAAAACAATGACTATAATAAATGTGTTCCCAGTAGCTTCAATAGAATTTGAGTGTGAACTGCACGAGTAGCGAGATCACTACAAAAGAAGCGAAGGCAAAATTTTTAAAGCGACCTCTCAAGTTACAATTCTCGAACTCACAAGGGAACATATTTGAGCGTACCCAGACAGAGTAAGTTTAATACCATGCTATCATATGAAGGCCTCCATATCTTAGCTGCTCTCGTTTTGATCTAAAACAAGACAAGACAAACTTTTTCGGTTGTAGACTTTATTCTGTTAATAGATGTGTCTCATAAAGCTTTTTTGGTTTTTGTAAAGTTCGTTAAAATGATCATTTCATTTTCAAAAAAGAACTGTAAAAACTCAATAAGATTCGTTATGAGAGCTAGCTCTCTGTCAGATATAGTAGTAACTCAGGATTATATTTGTGTCCATCTAGGTATCCACCTGATTATGTTGTTTTATTTTCGACAATTGAATAACAATTATCAGGTTTCTATGGAATAGTTGAATGAAAAAACTTCACAAAAAAAAAAGAAATAAGCTGAAAATGTTTATGATTCTCAACGAAGAAATGTGGAAACATAGTTTCATTGCACCACAAGCAAGGTATGAAGGTTGGTTCATTGCATCCAATGACACAATAGCTATCGCTGCCGAAGGAAAGACAAAGATCTGGAAGATTTTCGAAGCTGCAAGATTTTTGAGCTTTGGAACTGCACGAAAACTGTGGACCTTTAATCATCGCAGAAAACTGATTCGAGGGGAAAATAATTATGAATGAGACAGTGTAACTTCAATATGTTATTTCTTGACCATAAGTCAATGTCGAGTTACTACTATTTTTCAAAAAGAGCTAGCTCCCATAACGAATTTTGTTGAGTTTTTCCAGCTGTTTTTTGAAAATGAAATGATTATTTTAACGAATTTCACACAAAAAAACAAAAAAGCTTTATGACACATTTATTAACAGAATAAGGTCTACAACCGAAAACGTCTGTCTTGTCTTGTAATCCGATCCAAGCAAGAGCAGTTAAGATATTCATATTCGAGATATTCAAGAAGACCTTCAAAGGATAGCATAGTCAAAAACTCCCTAGGTATTGGTGTACTCAAATAGGTTCCGTTCTTAGCATAACTTTAATTGTACACACTATGATGAAACCATTTTGTCCGTTATTTTTAATAAATAATAGTCGATGTTTCGTAGCTTAGATCACAGCAGCTAGCGGCATAATCAAGATTTTAAATGATACAAATATTAATACATGAAAGCGATGCATTACCACTATGATTACCGCATGTTACAAAAAAGATATTGTTGAAACGATTCTAGAAGAATTTTCTAAAATTCAAGGACATATCATGAATCCATCATTCATAGTTTAGTTGTCTTTTCAAATGAATTTCAAAAAAAATATACATTCTCCTATCTCGTCATAGGTTTCAACGATATAGACAAGCGAGATTTCTATGCATTATTTTATTCTCAATAAATATTAAACTTCATTCTGTTCCATTGAGCATAAAAGTAGAATTTTGAATAATGGTAACTAGTTCGTATCAAACAATATAATAAAATCGTGCGGTCTCTTTGAAAAGAAATTGTTCATGCGATAATACACTTTTGTTATTATTATCAATTTTTACATCGTACATACGTATCTTATCAAAAGAGTGATACACTTGAATGCTTTTTTTCTCTCGATTTTCTCTCATAGAAATCGTATGCACATGTCCATGTAATCAACAGAACAAAAGATAGACAGAAAGAAAAAAGATGAATAAGAATCATTAATAAAACGAGGACGGGATAAGAAAAAGAGCCAATAGATTATCATCGAAAAAGCAAAAGTTATCATAATTAATGACTAATTACAAACACCATTTTTTCCCTAAACATCAATGACAGAAGGAATTTTCTCTTTTTTTCTTTTAGAAAAACATTACTGCGTCATTTTGTTTGTTATGCTTCAATAAATGTTTCATTCTAAAGAAAATGCATTGTATGTTTAGGGTAGACGATGTTTTTGTGCGGTTTCAAAAAGGAAAAATCAATTTTATTCTAAGTGAGGAATATCCCATAAGATTCTGTCTAATCCCTTTCTCATGTTTCTTGCAAAAATCTTTTGATGGGATTCTTCTAAATGTCATCCAAATGAGTAAGGGAACATCACCTGAAAAAAACATTCGAGCCAACTATAAAAGAGCAATACAACTAGCAAACGAACAGATAATATTGAAATACAACAAAAATGGTGAAAATTATTCTTCTTTTGATGGTTTCTATTGGTTTACAAGTGGCTAGTGCAAATCTAGACGTTGCACTTCAATCTTTTCTCGCTTCGACTACGGGAAGAAGTTTAGAAGGAAACAAAGCTGATGCTGTTAAGAATTTATACAAGCTGTACAAGATAGAATTCAATCGAAATTCAAACACAAAGAGCGATGACAAGCTTCGTTTTATGTCATTCAATAAAACGTTGCATGACATTCTTGATGATTATCAAAAAGGTGAAAAAACATACACTCTTGGACTCAATAATCATGCTGATTGGACAGAAGATGAATGGAAAATATTACGTCGTGGTATTCAAGTGCCTGAAGGCAACATCAGTGAGACGAATGTGAGACCAGGTGAACATTTATTAACATGGGACGGAAAGTCATTACAAGGCAGAACGATCCCACCGACCTCGTACGACTTAACAAGAATGGTTGTTCCAGGAACGACTGTGCCATTTGTAAGCATTATTTTTCATCTATGATCCAAAATCATTTTGTTTCTTTTTTCTATTCAAGGTTTTACCAATCAAAGATCAAGGGCAGTGTGGATCGTGTTATGCATTTGCTTTTAACTCTTTGCTTGAATTTCAATATGCTACTCAATTGAAGAGAAGCGCCAGTTTGAGCGAGCAACAGATAGTTGACTGTTCATCTTATGATTATGGCTGCAATGGAGGTTACTTTCCTAACACGTTTAGCTATTTGCAAAAAAATATTTATCAAGTAAACGGTGCTCCATACTATCCCTACAAGGCTAAACCTGGACAATGTGCATTTAGAAGTGTGAGAGGCGGTGGAGTGAAATTCGGATCACTTCGTTACGTTAATGTTAGAGCAAATCATGCTGCTGCCATGCAACAAGCTCTGGTCAACTACGGACCTTTGTGGGTATCGCTTTTCGTTGGTAATCAAATGACATCAACGTACAGTAGGATTTCCTCTATGTTCAACAATTACAGAAGTGGTATTTTTCAACCAAGTGAATGTCCAACATCGGTCTACTCAACAAATCATGCTGTTACTATCGTTGGCTACGGAGTTGATGCGACAACAGGTGTGCCCTATTGGAAAGTAAGAAATAGTTGGGGAGCTTGGTGGGGAGATAGTGGCTATTTTAAAATACGACGTGGTGTGAACATGTGCGGTATTGAATCCGGCCCATTCTACATTGCAAAAGCAGCCTAAATAATAAATAATAATTATTTCCGGTTTTATAGATTGATATATATATGTGTTTGTGTATATTTTTGTTTTTATTATTATTTAACATATACTCTATATATTCATGAATAAAAACATTGACTTTCTTCTTAAAAATAAGGACGTCTGTTAATCCAAGTCCTCAATCATAGCTGTAAAATTGAAATTGCCAGGTGAAGTCATTCTTAAAATAAAAAATGTAAGAAATTCTTTGAAGAGAGGTTATTTTACTTGTAAAAGGTAAAGTATAATAAAATCATGAAAAATTAAGAATTGAATATTTTTTTAAAAATAACCGATGTTCAATCTCATAATAAATATTAGACTGAATGAAACTTGCAAAAATCAATTGATAGATTAATAGAAGTGTTTTTGTGATAAATTTTTCAAGCATATCATCGATTACATTGAACCGCTGTGTGTGATGTTCTTTTATCATAATACTCGTTCATGTTGAAGCCTATTTTTTTCCTAGATAGATCTAGAGATTTCCGAATCTCATCAAATTATATATTTGAGTTATATTTTAACCATTTGATCAATAATAAAATGTGAATAGCTAATTGGATGAGTATTTGATTAATAGTTGTAAATAGTTTCAGATTTCTAAGTTACTCTGAACAAAGTCACACGATTTAGAAGTTCAGTGGTGAATTGAAATAGTATTTATTGGAGTTTCAAGCAAATATAAGACTTGTTAAAGATTTCTTTTTATCTCTGAAGGATTTGTTGAAAATTTCCGACTTGTCTTCAGCTAAAAATTGATTCTAAATTTTCATATAAGAAATAAATTACAAAGGGTAGAAAAGGACCTGTCACAATTGTAAGTTGACCACCCAGGTCAAACATGTACGATGGAAAACGGCCGGATCCCGTGAAATTCCGGCCAATTCATGGAAGTGTTCCGAAATCGAATCCGGCATCCGGATCCTGCTTAGTTCTCGCTCATTCCTGCCTTCGGGTGCGATCTTCGGATATGGTCGTCGTTTCCGGTGCGGTTCCCGACTAAGTTTCCTCTTCTAAATCACTCTAACCGGATCCGAGTCGTATACCTGCCGTTTCCAGTACGGTTCCTAACTACAGTTCCGGGGTTTCGTCCCAATCACCGGATCCGGTTATATCCCACCTCTTTCCATTTTATTGACAAAGCCCATATCCAGCCTTTCAAAGACCTTTGAAAGATCTTTCAACGACCTTCAAATGTCTTTCTGAGACTTTCTCAGACATTGAAAGATCTGCCAAACACTCTTCGAAGACTTCAAAAGATCTTTCAAATATCTTTAGGAGAGTGTACCAAATCTATCATAATCCTTTCAAAGATCTTTCTATGACTTCAGAGATCTTTGAAAGACTTCACAATCCCTACACGAAATGTGTAAGGACAGGGCTTATGCCGTGCCCCACAGCAAACACTCTTCCAAAATTCCGAAATACCTAAGTTATTACAATCTGATTTCAAAGTCTTTCGAATCCCTACACGAAATGTGTAAGGACAGAGATGATGTCGTGTCCCACATTGGGGTGTGAAGTTACCGTTACATTGCGAAGTAACTGGTAACGGTATGGTAAAGGTCGTCCGTTCCCAGCCTCGAACCCTGGGGTCCTCAACTCTTATTTTTTTTTTCGAAAATTTTTTCCCAATGCAAAAACAGACATTTTGAGCAAAATAGATTTTTTCGAAAATTTTTTTCAAAAAATAAAGAACTTTGAAAGATTTTTCAAAGAACTTTTTTCCAACAAAACTTTGTGTTGTTTTCGAAAAAATTTGTTTTTATTCAAAGAGTCTGTTTCTGCATTGAAAAAAATTTCCGAAAAAAAAGATCTTTGAAAGAGGTTTCGAACAGGTTTTCATGTATTTTCCGGTGGGAAACGGTGAGTTCCTTGGCGATTTCCGGCGGGTTCGGAGTTTTTTCCCGTTGCTTTCTGGTTGCAGGAAATTAGCGGAAAATTCAGTTTCCGGATACGAGAAATTTCCGGCCGGAATACTGCTTCCATGTTCCGGGTATTTTTCCGGCCGGAAAGACACCGGAAAAGGCCGGAAATTACATCGTTTCCGGCGGGTTCCTGAAGGATCCGGAGGCCGGAATCATTGACCTGGGCATTTTTCAATATTGACGATGATCAATACATCAAAGGATTCTACTATGAATGTCGAGTGTGGACAGTCACAATTAACAGCAGTTGACCAATAAAATATCTCGCATTTGAACGATGCTGCTAAACATGTTGCAATGAGACCATTACAAAAGCTCCATTGACTTTTCAGTTTACAAGAATTGAAAGGAGCCGATAGCAACATGTACAAGAAAGGGCGGACATCAGAGTGCAACGACGACGAAGACATATAACCATGCATCGTTCATGGCATCCGCAAGAATTAGAGGAACAAAAACAAGAACGACGACGAAAGAATGCATCACAAGAGAAAAAACGAAGAAAACAAGAGAATAATCATGAACAACATGAACGGCATTGGACTAGTTCAGGCGAATATAAATCTAAATATAATATGCGGTTAAAGGCTAGAGTCGAATATACATGAGTGAAGAGCGGAATCATTGTATAATTCGAAGAAAATACGAATTAAACAAATTGGTAATAAGAAAAAACTAAGTGTTACGTTTGATAAAGCGATGCCGATTGTGTATGAAAATAATATTCTCCCAAGACTTCCCAGTGTCGGAGTCGATTTCTGTACGTTATTCTAAATATATCAATTAGTCTTGTGTGTGAGTGCTTGAAAAAAGTGTTGTTCTACACTTTACTAGTAAAACTAAATTTTCTCTCGAATGGAGAAAAATTTTTGCTTGATTTGTTGAGATATTGCTGTACTATGTGAATTAAAAAATGTATAAAAATTTTGTAGGGAACGGTTCAGTTTTCATCGAGTTGTAGTTATGACAAAATTTAAAAAGTTGTTCTACGTGCAGCATGACCATCATTTATATTTTGTTTTGGAATTGTTGCTTTAAAGAATTTTATGAAACAAATCGCTTTTACTTCTTAAATAATTTCCTTCTTATTTCTGTTTCATATCTAATCAAATTTGGTCAAATGGAATTTCTTCCAACGAATTGCCAACGTCATTAATGTCGTTCTACCAAAAAATTAGAAGTGTCTTAGTGTGTGTGGTTGATAGTTTTTCGTTAATAAAACGTTGTCTAAACCAAAAGACAATAATATATTCTGAGAGTACTTGACAAGCTCTACAATTGTAGCTAACAAAAGAATTTTAAAAGAATTTGCCATGCAATAAAAACATTGATCTAGAATAGCTGAAAACTTGATTTCTTTTAGAAATGAATGAGTACCTTCAGACCAATAAAACAAAAAGAAATTATCAAAATCGATTGAGTAGAACTCGAGTTACAGTCATTGTTCTTTTCGGGATACAACTGTACAATGAGTGTGCTCTTCACTCACATGAGAAGAAAAAAAAACAATTACAACAAGAATAAATAACATCAAAACAACATCTGATATATCCGTTGTTACTAGCATGTCAAAAATTCAAGAAAATCAAGAAAAATTAAAAATATTATCAAAAGAATTAAAAATTGTTCCAACGCCAACAACAATTAATGCAGTAACAATTATTATGAACTGTGAAAAATCATTATATCCAACATAAAAAATAATTAAAAATGCAGCTATATCGAAAGCATCAACATTTNTCTCTCGAGTTAGTTCGGCATCCCATTCCATCCAAGTTGAATTTGCCCAAGAAAACGCACATTTATATCGAAATATCTTACTAGATATTGAATTGACTAGCAATCGTTCGAATACTATTCTTGCAGTGGAATACGGTGCTGTTATGGTTTCATTTATACCAACCGAAGAAGATTGTCAACGAGCAATGAACAATGTAGAGACGACCAATTAATTTATTTTTGTTATCGACTGCAGTGGATCAATGGAATATGAGAACAAGATTGGATTGGCACGTGAAGCTGTGCTAATCTTTCTCAAGAGTCTTCCGATGGATTGTCATTTTAATATCATTCGATTCGGATCAACTCATGTGGCATTATTCGACGAGGTCACTGCTACTTACAATGAACAAAATGCTCAAGAAGCTGAAGAGCTTACTAATCAGTTGTAGGCAGATTTGGATGGCACTGAATTGATGAGTTTCAACGATTTTGTCTTAGATTATTGTTAATTTGTTTCTATATTAGTTAAAGCCGCTTCACTGAGTAGAATTAGCGTCATCCAGGAGAAAGTCGCGCACGAGAAATGTTTTTGTTGACGGATGGAGAAATTTCAAACGTCAACGAAGTACTCGTTCTGTGTCGTTCAATGACTACTTCTACACGAATTTTTTTCATGTAGTTAGGGTCATTCGCCGAATCGTTCACTTGTCAAAGGTCTTGCTCAAGCAACGAATGGATGTTTTGTCTTTATTCCATCTAATACTGATGTCAAAATTCATGTTGGTGAACAGATACAAAAAGATTCTGCAACCTTGTTTAACCAATATGCAAGTTAAGTGTAATCTCGATACTAATGTTATGAGTGCGTTAACAAAAACGCCACTAATCTACGTTAATGATCGTCTGATTGTTTATGCACTTGCCAAAGATTCAATGTTTGCGTTTGATCACAACTCGAGTGTCGAATTATATAACGATACAAGTTGATTAGGCGAAGTGAAAATTGACTGCACACCAAATGTGAGCGTGAATGGAACAATTACTCGAATTGCAATATTCGAAATTGTCCTCCTCGGCCATGAAAGAACAATTCAGGTTCACTACATAGTCGATTTCAACAAGGTAAGTCGTCGCCAACACCAGCAACAACAATCGACGAGAAAGAAATGACAAAGAAATCTATTATTGAACTTTCACTCAAATATCAAATTCTAAGTTCACATACTGCTTTTATTGATGTTGAAAAATGAGTGTATGGCAGCCATGCTGACATGGTCTTGCGTGAAGTATCAATTCAAATATCAGTCGATGATCAACACTTAGAGGTAG